TGAGCTTCACACACAGGTGCTTTCAAAGAATCTGATGGCCCAGCCTTTGAGGTGAGGCTGCCTGAGTTCAAGTCCCAGCAGGGAGACCTTTGACATATGACGTCACCTGTTTGGGCCTCCGTGTTCTCATTTATAAAATGGGCATAGGAATGGCACCTAACATATTTCTGAGGATTCCAGGAGCTGGCGACGCCCAGTGAGCGGCTCCGGCACGTGACACAGTGAGAGCCGCACGGCGTGCTTGTTCGTATCATCTCCTCGTGTGTGTGTCTGTCTGTCCCACTAGACCGTGGACGCCCAGGGCAGATCTGTGTCCCCTTGTGTCTGTAGACCCAGCAGCCAGTATGGAGCAGGTGCTCAGCACGTGTCCCATAGGGAATGAAAGAAACAGTCGCCCTGGGGACAGGTGGCAGGTTAAGTGGACTCAGCCTGATTAAGTGTGAAAACAGACAAGGAGAATGTTTTAGTCCAGAAACTTGGGGGCCCAGAAGATGGACTCCAGTGAAGAGAATGATGGGGCCCCCACTGGATCTCCTGAGACAATCTGCCCCTGAGGTAGACCCGAAAACCCAGCCTATCCCTCCAGATGGATCCCACACAGACCCGCTCTTCCTCCCCAATCCTCCATAATTCTTCTATTCAGCGTGTCCGCCTGTCAGCCCTGGGGTTGTGCCAGGTGCTGGAACGCAGTGAGGACTGAGAGCTGAGCTCGTCTGCGTCCTCGTGCTGCCCAGAGGGGAAACCGAGGACACAGTAAACGGATCTTACCAGATAGGACGGAGTCCCTGCGCCCCTCAGGGTGCAGACTTACAGAGCAGGGTGAACTCGGAGAGGCAGTCCAGGCTGCCCCCTGCCAAGGCTGTGACGTTTTAGGCAACGGAAGAGGGATGATGGTGTCGCTAGCTGAAGGGTCTTCGAAGCCAGACATGGTGATGCTCACCTCGATTCATCCCCCACCCCCAACACTGCATCTCTTCTTAGATGCCAGGGTTCACGGCTGGGCAACCAAACTGTAGGCTCTGGATGGGCCGCGGGTCCCAGAGAGCCTTCAGCACCGCGGACAGCGCAGGGGGGGGTCTCCAGAGCTCTCTTAAAGGATGGCTCTCCGTGCCAGGCCGCTGTGGGGCCAGGACCAGCCGCTTGCCCACCCGAAGCCTGCCCACCCCCACTAATCCCTCTGCCACCCTCAGAGCACCTTGGACTAGTGACCTCCCTACAAGCCCCATTCTCCACCTGCACTTTGTGGTGGCTTCTGGGTGAAGGGCCCTCCCAATGGGATGGATCCGTTTTAGGTGTGATTTTATTCCATTCAACAGAGCTAAGAGCTGACCCCATGGATCTTGATGCCTTGGACAGAGTTCAAGACAGTTGGTTTCCCACGGAAGGATTGGGAAGTGAAGACTGGAAGAGAGTATGTTAAATATGTTCACATTTTGATATTTGGATGAACAAGGGAAGAAAAATCACACCTGAGAACTTCCTGCGTGCTGAGTACTCTGCTGAGCCTGGGAGGGTTCGAGGAAATTTAAAACATAGTACTTGCTTTCAACCCTCTAGTGGGACCGTGGACCAGTCTCTTCCCGCCTGTGGGCCTTGGCTTCCTCATCTGTGAAGAGAGGTGGTTGAACCCAACACCTCACAGTGCTGACATTCTATTTTCACGTTTACCTGAAAGTGGATAATGAGAGGTTTCTATGCGGGGGGCCTACTGAGTCCTTTCTAATCACATTCATTTGCAGGCTCAGAGAGGTGAAGTTACTTGCCAAAAGTCACACAGCTTGTAAGTGGTAGAGCCTGGATGTGAACCTTTGACTGTCAGACTCCAAGTACAGTTGTTTTCTTCCCGTAAAGGAAGAGAGGCTGAGCAAAAGCCTCTCTCAGGGACCAGACTCAGCCAGGAGGGGCAGGTGAGGCCCATCCTCTGGCTCAGGAGCATGTCCTCCTCCTGCACGGTCTCCTCACTTGTTGGAAAGCCAGCCCAGGGCTGCTCCGGGCCGGGCTGGGCGCTGGGGGCCGAGCGCCCCAGGAGGAAGCTGACCGGCTCTCTGCCAGCAGGGTGTCCCCAGGGTGGCCGGGCAGTCACCCGCAACAGGGTGACAAGCACAGGGAGGGAGGGATGTGAGGGTGTTGTGGGACACAGCAGAGGGGTGGGGACGCGACAGCCAGAGGCCAGCATGGGGGCCACCCTGCCGAGAGGCCAGGACGTGCAAAGCCACAGGACAGAGCCCGGAACAAAGAGGCGGGCGGGCGGGACCAGTCCGAGGTCAGGAATGACCTCCTGGGGCGGAGTCCAGCCTGAGGGATTCTACTTCGCCCACAGATGATTTAAATTGTTTAAAAACCTTAGTTGTTATCATTTAAAAGCCAGGAGATTTCATTTTAAAATTCCAGTTCAGTTTCCCTGAACATTTCAGAAGAGCGGAGCTCACACTGCCCGGAGCTGGGGCCTGGCGCCTCGGGGCCTGCACCCGGCAGGCATGTTGAGGTAGGGTTCCTCGGTGTACAGGGTAAGTTTGGGGCTTTTGGCGGGTGACTGGCCCCTGAGTAAAGAGACTGGAAGGAGGGGAGTGAGTGGGGAGTCCTAGTGCGCCGGTGGGTGCTTCTCAGGCCTGGTGAGGACAGACCCCCACCCTCCCTGGAACTGGCTGAGCCCAAGCCCTCCTGGCAGGCTGGACAGGGGAGAAGGGCCCCCATCCTGTGACTTGGCCTCTGGATCCAGGGGACAAGGAACCTGATTTTAATTCAAGGGAGGACAGGGATCACCTTTTTCTCTGCGCCAATGAACTGTCCAAGGTTCTGCCTGTTGGCAACGATAAAAACAATCAAACCTTCTTTTGCACCAAATATTTGCTTCCAGTTTGTTTAAAAAATCTCAAACTCCTACACCTTGGAGCAAGCACTTCCGAAGAATGCAGCTGTTTCAGCGGCTGGAACAAAGAAACGTTTTCCTGAGGCCACACGACTCCAGGATGCTCGCCAAATGTTTCCCAGCCCTTTAAAAATTAGCAGAGCACCAATCAACATTAAAGAATATAAAACCCGGGTGTGTGTGGGGGGGGAGCCAGAGGGGAAAACCTTGCACCCATCGTTGGCATGACCATCTTTTTCTTTGCCTGTTGCCGTCCAGCCTTGGTTATTGGGAAGAATCTTCCAACACTGAGCTGCTCTGGGGGTGGAGGAAGAGTAATGAGCAGCCTGTCCTTGGCGGTGTGCAAGCAGGGGCTTGGCTTCAGCAGGAATTTCCACCTCCAGGGGCTCGCTGTAAAGAAATACAAGAATGCACATCTTTTAGAGCTCAGGGTGAGGTGAAAAACCAACCATGAAACATTTCTTTTCACGTGAAAGTTTGGAACCGGGAAGAAATTGATGCAACCCAGTGGACGCTTGTCTTGGCCGAGTCTCAGCTCCCTCGCTTGTGATGGTGGTGGCGGTCTCCCAGGGAGACTGGGGTCTGGGTGGGTGTGGATCTGCCCTCAGCGGATCAGCTGCTCCCCGGCCCGGCGCGCCCCTCCCTGCTCCCCGCTCTGGCCCCACCTCCATCGAGCCACTGAGCATCCTCCCTGGGTTGAGCCATCACTCTCCTGGGCTCCCCTCTAACGGGGTAAAGTTGGGGAACACACTCAGGGGGTGTGTTCCAAGATGCAGGAGACCCCCGAGGGCAGGGGAGAGGATGGCGTGGGCTTCCTGTGGGAGGGGAGACTGAGCTGGGCCTTGAGGGTTTGATTCACAGTCGGTACAAGGACATGTGGGGCCTCTAGGTCACAGTGTGGAGATGGAGACGGTTCAGCGTGTCAGGAAGATGCCAGGAGGCACTGCCTAAAGGCCAGGAGCACGCTTCTGAGAATCGAGGGAAGGGGTGAGCGCCCTGGATCAGGACGAGCCTCCCAGCCCTCCTGCTTGCCCACCAGCAAGAGCAGCGGGCAGTGGTGGGCAGTGAGGTCTCTGCTGGATACCTTGGCCCAGAGAGCAGCTCAGAGCCAACGCCCTGTCCCTGGGGCATGTGCCCTGTCCCTGGGGCCCAGGTTTGTCCCTCCCCCAGGGCCCCCAGTGAAGGCACACAGCGGGGCTCACAGCAGCCGGAGGGTGGGCAGATAGGTGCGGGGAGGCGGCTGCAGGACGCTGGCGTAGGTGGGTGGGCAGGCGGGTGGGCGGGGGAGGGATCGGTGGATAACTGAGGGTGTGGACAGGTGAGAGAACTGTGGAAATGGAAAGTGGGTGGGTGGGTGGCCTGCGTGGGTGGGTGGGTTGGTTTGGTGGGTGAAGGTGAGGGTAGGTGGGAGCAGGATTGGGGTGAGTGGAGGGCTGTCAGAGAGGTGTGTCGGGGAGTTGGGGCAGGACGGAGGGTGGGGGGGACTTGCTGAGTCAGCGGGTGGTCAGCAGGTTGGGAAGCAGAGGAGAAGGCGGTGAGAGGAGGTGTGTGTGGGAAGCGGGGCTGGGGTGCTACCGTGCTGGTGAGTTGTGGTGGGAAGAGTGAGTGGGGTGGTGGATATATTGGTGGGCTGGTAAGTGAATGGCTGTGGCCATTGGCAGGTGGATGTCCAGGTGTTGGTGGACTCCTGGTTAGATGAGTGGGCAGTGGGGCATGGGATGGCGTGGAGAGCTGGGAATGCAGGCGGGTGGAGGGCGAGCTGGGCAGTGGGACAGCGAGTAGAGCACTGCGTGGGCGGTGGCTGCGTGGGTGGTGGCTGGCTGGGCGGTGGCTGGCTGGGCGGTGGCTGGCTGGGCAGTGGCTGCGTGGGTGGTGGCTGGCTGGGCGGTGGCTGCGTGGGTGGTGGCTGGGTGGGCGGTAGCTGGGTGGGCGGAGGCTGGCTGGGCGGAGGCTGCATGGGCGGTGGCTGCATGGGTGGTGGCTGGCTGGGTGGTGGCTGGAGGGTGGTGGAAGGCCCGTCACGTGGGCACAGGTAACCGACGCGTGGTGGGTGGTGAGCCTGTGGGGCGGCGGGCAGACGGGTGTGGCGGAGGGAGAGACGGCCTGCACTGACCACCCTGTCTCTTGGCAGGACACCAGCCCCACAGGGGAGACTCCTGGCCCCGCAGCCCCGCACAGGAGGCACCGGAGCTGGGCCGCCAGTGCTGGGTCCTGGGGCACTGGGTGTGACCGAGACCCAGCCCGGCCCGCAGGCCTCAGGCCAGCGTCAGCACCAGCCCCGCCACACGACCACTGGCCTGTGTGCTCTGAACTCAGCCAGCCTGCATGGGAGCCGCCGGGCCTGCCCTGCCCACCTGGGCCTGGGTCTCAGGGCCCCCACGACGGGCCAGCGCGGCCGCAGGAATTCACGGGCTGCACGGAGCGATCTGGGACAGCAGCTTCGAACTCCGGCCACACACAGATCCCTGCTGGGCACAGCCAGGTGCCAGGAAACACATGGACAGCGACCGGAAGCCTGGGGTCCCCCGAGCCAGCTAGGACGTCCAGGAGGGGCCCAGTGGCACATAACCCTCGGGGGACAGGGCGTGGGGGCTTCCTAAAGGGGGGCAGTGGCACTGGCATTGCGGGGGTCACACAGCAGGCACACAGCAGGGGCTCAATAAACGCTTGGTGAACCTGCTTTCTCGCGGTGTGAGGCCAGCTGCTCTCTGGACTGCGGCTGCCCCTTCATGGCTCCATCCTTTTAGGTCCTCGAGGAGCCTGACGGCGAGACGGCCCCGTGTGTGCCGCAGTCGGGGTCAGGCGCAGGCGTGGGAGGGAGGGAGCCCAGGGCCAGCCTGGTCTGGGGGGGCTCAGGCTGGCACGCTGCCTTGGATTCCAGAGGGTGGGTCAGGTGGAGGTGCCAGGCAGATGGGGGGTGTGGAGTGGGCAACAGAAAGGCCCTCGCACAGGACCTAAGCCATCCTGACCTCCTTGGGGACCTTTTACCCAGTGTCTAGAGCCACCGTTACATCAAATCCCAGGGTGTTGACACCTGGGGACACAGATTCCCCTAATGAAGATGAGGGAATTTAGGGTCACAGAGATGAAGAAACTTGCCCCAGATCACAAAGCTGGCAAAGGGCAGAGTTGGGGCCTAAACCAGAACTCCTGACTCCGAGGTCTCATCCCTTCCCAGAGGATTTCTAGATCTTTCCCCCAGGCAGAGAATGTTCTTCACTCTTCCATAAGCCCACCATTTATTCATTTATTCATTCATCCATCATCCATCCATCATCCATCATCTATCCATCACCCATCCATCACCCATCCATCACCCATCCATCACCCATCCATCACCCATCCATCACCCATCCATCACCCATCCATCACCCATCCATCACCCATCCATCACCCATCCATCACCCATCCATCACCCATCCATCACCCATCCATCATCCATCCATCACCCATCCATCACCCATCCATCACCCATCCATCACCCATCCATCACCCATCCATCACCCATCCATCATCCATCCATCACCCATCCATCACCCATCCATCACCCATCCATCATCCATCCATCACCCATCCATCACCCATCCATCACCCATCCATCACCCATCCATCATCCATCCATCACCCATCCATCACCCATCCATTCATCATCCATCATCCATCATCTATCCATCACCCATCCATCACCCATCCATCACCCATCCATCACCCATCCATCACCCATCCATCACCCATCCATCACCCATCCATCACCCATCATCCATCTATCATCCATCCATTCATCATCCATCATTCATCATCTATTCACCCATCACCATCTGTCATCCATACATGCATCACCCATCCATCACCCATCCATCATCTATCCATCACCCATCCATCACCTATTCATCACCCATCCATCACCCATCCATCACCCATCCATCACCTATTCATCACCCATCCATCACCCATCCATCACCCATCCATCACCCATCCATCATCCATCCATTCATCATCCATCATTCATCATCTATTCACCCTTCACCATCTGTCATCCATACATTCATCACCCATCCATCATCCATTGTCCCTCCATCATTCACCATCAGTTGTCATAGTTCTCTGTGTCAGACCTCTATCCATCATTCTTTCATGCATCACTCATCCTCATTATTCAACCATCCATCTAAATATTCATTTGTCCAGTGGCATAATCCATTTTCCCCTACTGTGGGCCAAGCACTGTGGTAGGCACTTACGATAGGATATGGAACCATCAGAGGATGTCTGTCTGTGCAGAGCTCACAGATGGGCGGGACAGATCACTGGACAGACTGTTACAATTCATGTGGGAAGTGCCGGGCCTCAGCTCCGGGCCAGGCAGCGTGGGTTCAGATTCCAGCCCTTCACTTGAGACGTTGGGCAACTTGCCTGGCCTCTCCTGTGCCCCATCCGATGGGCACACGAGGATGGTCGTCGTAACTACCTCTTGAAGCTGTTCTGAGGGTTTGATGAGCTGACGTACGTGAGTTAGGACAGAGCCCGGCACAGTGTGCTCTGTCGGTGTTACCGCCTCGGTGGGGTGGGAGTCCAGGGCGGCACCTGCTGGGCCGGGGCAGTGGCGAGAGGAGGTTCCATCGGGAAAAATGACCCCAAGTTAAGACGTGAAGGTTGTCTAGCTGTCAGGCAGGGGGGAGTGTGAGGGCAGCAAGGTGGGGAACACTGGAGGAGCTCCAGGGCAGTCTCGATGGGGTGTGGGGGGAGTGTGAGGGCAGCAGGGCGGGGAACACTGGAGGAGCTCCAGGGCAGTCTCGATGGGGTGTGGGGGGAAGGAGGCAGCAGGGTGGGAACACTGGAGGAGCTCCGGGACAGTCTCGATGGGGTGTGGGGGAAGGAGGCAGCAGGGTGGGAACACTGGAGGAGCTCCGGGGCAGTCTCGATGGGGTGTGGGGGGAAGGAGGCAGCAGGGTGGGAACACTGGAGGAGCTCCGGGGCAGTCTCGATGGGGTGTGGAGGGAAGGAGGCAGCAGGGTGGGGAACACTGGAGGAGCTCCGGGGCAGTCTCGATGGGGTGTGGGGGAAGGAGGCAGCAGGGTGGGGAACACTGGAGGAGCTCCGGGGCAGTCTCGATGGGGTGTGGGGGGAAGGAGGCAGCAGGGTGGGGAACACTGGAGGAGCTCCGGGGCAGTCTCGATGGGGTGTGGGGGAAGGAGGCAGCAGGGTGGGGAACACTGGAGGAGCTCCGGGGCAGTCTCGATGGGGTGTGGGGGAAGGAGGCAGCAGGGCGGGGAACACTGGAGGAGCTCGGGGCAGTCTCGATGGGGTGTGGAGGGAAGGAGGCAGCAGGGTGGTGGAGCTGGCTGCCCGGTCGGTGAGGCCAGGCCCCGGGGCGGGCCCAGCGACTGCGGGGATGCTTCCGGCAGAGTGGGAAGCGCCCAGCTGTGCACCAAGGAAGGTCATCGAAGCTGCGGGCAGGGAATGGGTGGGGGAGGCCCAGCCTCCTTCCTCACCCTGACCACACTGGGGGGAGAGAGAGGGTGTGGCCCTGGGGTAGAACAACAAGCGCAGGTCCAGGAGGGGAAACCAACAGGTTTGGGGTGGACTGACATGGGAGGATGTCCTGAGCCTCAGGTGCCTGGGGACTCCCAGGAGGAGGTGGACACTCGTCTATGGTTCATGCATCAATCGAGCGAGTGCCCCACTGACATCTGTCATTTGTTCAGTACTTTGGACCTACTGTGTGGGGCAGAGATGGGCCTGGGAGAGACTGGGACCCAGGCACAAAGGCCTCGACTACCAGGACAGGAGTTCGGGCTTTGGCCTCTGGGCAAGACGAGCCGCCGCAGGCAGGCGGCTGGGTAGGGACGCCGGTGACAAGGAACCTGCAGGGCCCGGCATCTCGGGGCCCCTCCCCTCCCCCGAGGCCTCAGGGGGTTGGCCAGTGCGCACGAGGGCAGGACTAGGTCTTAGTTGGCACATAGGCAGAATTTTTATCTATTTTAATAGTTGTGTTCATGTAAATGTGTATTAGAAAAAAAAAACGTGTAACGGGCATACCAGTGCCATGAGTTCGCAGATATTACTGCTTAGGATGAAACCAAAATAGGCATTTAAGTAAAAAGAATGAGTCGGCTGAAAGAAAAACCGTATTAAATAAATAATTGTGCAAGTGTTATGTGATCATGCTATGCGGACGGCTCAAGCCAGGGCCACTCTGCCCTGCACAAGTCCTTTTGTCCCCACCTGGACACCTGCTGGGCAGGGTGTGAGGACGAGCTGTCTTTCAGTGACAGAGCCTGCAGCAAGAAGGCTGCTGGTCAGATGAAAGGAAGCACTTCCAGGCAGGCTGGGTGAGTGGCCCAGTAACTACTGAGAGTTCTTGGGAGGTTGCTTCACGCAGGGAGCACGTGCCACCCCGAATCCGGGAGGAGGGAGAAGCCCTGGTGAAGGCAGGGGACGCCTGGGTGAGCACAGGAGCCTGCACGGGGTAGCCAGGGCCCCTCCTCCGGACCCTGCAGACAGCTTTCCCGGCTCCACGCCCCGTGCCGAGCAGATGAGTTCTGACCACTGAATGACCACACGCTGGCCTGATCCACAGCCCGGAGTGGTTCTCGCGTTCTGCTCTGGGCGCCGGCACCCAGCGTCCCTGCAGTCACATGCTTGAGTGCACACAAGTGGACACGGCGTAAGCTCAGGATAATGCTCTGTGTGCCCGTGTGCCCTGCACTGCGGTGGCACTGGCTGGCCCTTGGGGTGAGGCTCTGCCCACATCACCCGTCTCTCCCCGGGTGCAGAGGGCCTTCAGGGCCATGGTCCTTCCCCAGGCTGAGGACCGATGGGCAGGCCCAGGCCTCAGTCGGTCGCTGGGCTGACGTCCCTCCTCGCTGGTGGCTGAGATGAGCAGTCTTCCCGCCACCCCCTCCGAAGCCAGTCATCCCGGCCGTTGGTAATGGAAACGTCAACTTGATTCATGGGCATTCGTGAGCAGCAGCCGGCCCGAGGACAGCACGCCGGGAGGCTCATCCCCTGGGAAGGGCTGCTGCCGCCGGCGCACCGACCCCTTGCCTGGGAGGAAGTGAGGATGGAGGAAAGCACGGGGGCTGCCATGTTAATTCTCACAACAAAAACGTCCCTTCGAGATGTGATCGGTGCTGCATAGGTGAACCAGGGAGAGGCCTGATTGAAACTCGAGGGAGGGCTGGCCTGTCGGAGGAAGGGCCACTGCAGCAGGGGCGGAAGGACAAGGAAGGAGGCGGCAAGGTGTGTGGGCAGCAGTCACGGCATGTGCAAAGGCCCCGGGGTTGAGAGGAACGCAGTGTGGCCTTATGATGACAGGCTGGCTGGAGCTGGGGGCACGAGGTCTGCGACTGCGTGGTCATCTGGAGTCAGAGTGTGGGGCCCTCGTGGATTCTAACACGGAGTTTGGCCTTCACCTGTAAGGTCACGGGAGCCATTGGTAGGAGGGCCTCTTGTTCGTTTCTTTGCAGCCACAATACTGTATTCTGAACCAAAAATATTTTTTTAAAATTTGAAATGTATTAACAGAATCTCAAAGAAAAGTGAATGAAAACATAAAAACCCAGCATGGGAGTCACTGGAACACGGTGATGCGAGGGGGTGTGAGAGGGGTCGGCCCTGCCCTTGGGAAGCTGTCCTGGTTGCCGGGGAAGGCCTGGGAGTGGGCGTGGGGCAGGGCGACCAGAGGGAGCGGCCGCAGGTCCAGGCGGGATGGTGGCGTCTGGGCTCTGAGCTGTGCGGCGGGCACTGTGGAAACCAGGGGAGGGTGTCCTGTGGGCGGGAGAGTCGAAAACACTCCTCTCCCCAAACCGCAGGCGATGCAGCCCGAGCACGGGCTCGGAGAGCTGGGTTCAGCCCCACCTGCCCCTGCACCCCTGGCTGTGGGCAGAGAACAGACCACCCCACTGCGGCGGTGGAGGGCCAGCCCTGGGGCTGAGGACAAACAGCCCTGCCGGCACCGTGGGTCATGAGGAAAAGCCAATCCCCCGCGTGGGGATGTGCTGCAGGGAGAGACAGGAGACATGGCGCGACCTCTGCCCTCCCCGCGCGGCCCAGCCCTGCTGCCCTGGTGATTCCTGCCTGGGCCACTTTTCATCCTGGTGACACTGTCTCGGCCTCTGCCCTGGGGGGCCGGTGGCGGCACTGACGTCAGGATGGGGGGGCTCTGCTCGAAGGGAGGGGCTCCAGGGCAGGAGTCGAGGGTGGCGATCTGAGCCCCAGCCCCTTCCTCCTGCTGGGCTCCTCCTGAGTGTAGGGTGGGGGCGGGGCCGGAGGCTGAGGGCGGGGCAAGGGGCCAGAACCGCAGAGGAGGGCGAGTCAGCAGCTCCAGCACAGAGGCCAGCTCCCCTCGCCCACCAAGCCGCCCAGGCTGGGCTGGGGTCCCAGAAGTTGAGGGGGCTGGGCGGGAGGTCGTGCCATGTTGCTCTGCTGAGCCCGAGCCTGGAGCTGGGCAGGCCTGGAGCCACCGCTCAGTCACCTGCTACAAATGCCCCAGTTTGCACACCTGTAAAACGAGGGTGGCTGGGCAGCTGGAGGAGTGTGTCTCCCTCCGGGAGCCCCCCAGGAGCAGGCACTGCCGGCCCCCTGGTGGGCAGGGACGCTCCCAGGAGGTGGCGGAGGCTGGATGTGACCTGGCCGGCCCGCCCCAGGGCCAGGGCTCCCATCGCCCCCTGCCGGGGGAAGGGTGCCCACTGAATGTGGTCTTGGTCGGCACCTTCAGTGACGAGCCCCACGGAGCCTCCGGCACCGGGGAGGGCTCAGCATTTGGTGGCCGTTTTTATTTTTGTTGTCATTATCACAGATATGGCTGCCAAAGGCCGTCCCTTCGCAGGGGCTGTGAGCTTTCCAGAGGCTGGGAGCCTGGAGGTGGTGGTGTGAATGCCACACGCCACAGAGGTTCAGGGACACACCTGTGTAGCCATGCAGACAGGCCCATGGCTCGTGGGGACGCCTGACCCATGGGACCGAGGCCCCACCTGCCTCCCCCAGCCCCAGCCAGGGCGTGAGTCCCAGGGCCCCCGGAAGGCCCTCTGCATGGCCTGGTCCCCAGGGGCAGTCCTACCCACTCTGGGCCCCACAGCAGGGCTACCCCCTCCCTCCCTGCCCTTCCCATCCACTGCCTCGGCCTCAGGGGTGCAAGCTCAGCCGCGCGGGTCTGGCAGGCGGCGCAGGTGAGGGAGCGGCTGGCATGACAACGGGCGGGGGGCTGCGGGGATCAGGCTCAGGGGCTCAGCACTGTGGGCTAGAGCCGGCCACCTTCGGTGTCCCAGAGAAGTGGGGACTCGGGCGGAGCAGCCCAGCCAGCCCTCTGAGGAGGCTGAGCCCAGACCGACCTGCAGCTCCCGCAGAGGCGGGGGCCTGGAGCTCAGAGAGGGGCCAGGATGGGGTGGAAGGTGAGGCCTGGGGAGGGGCCCTGGACACGTGGGCGAACATCCGGACGCACAAACGGCCTGGGCAGGCTCTGGCTCCTCCTGAGCCCCTGGCGCCGGTGCCAGAACAGTCTGGAGCCAGCCAGACGGACGGAAGCAGGCCTGTCACACTGCTAGACAGAGAAAGCAGGTCCCCAAGGGGACATAGGTCTGAGGAGAGTCCTCTGGGAACCCAAGCCCGCTGTTCCTTAGGCCTCCTGTCCGCTGTGGCTGACACTCATTCCGGAACCCTCGCCTGGGCTCGCTGGCACCCAGGGGCCCCGGCGCTGCAGCTCGGGCGACTCTAGACCCTGTGCTTATGGGGTGGGGTGGGGTGGGGTGGGGTGGGAGGCAGGATGTGGAGGGAGAAGCCTCTGCTCTCGCCCAGGGTGAGGGTGGGGACTGTCACTCTAGCATGCAAAGGTCCCCCACTGACCCCAGCTTTTCTGCCCATGCGGGCTGAGGGGCAGAGTGAGGGCCCGGGAGTGACCTCCCTGGGCCACGGGGTGGGGACTGCCGCTCTGGGGGCGGCGCTCAGGCCGAGGCAGGTGGGAGCTGGGGTGGGCCCCCCAAGGCTTGTCGCCAGTTCTATTGCGCACTCAGGGTTTGTGTGCTTAAGTTGAGCCAACATTTAAGTTAATTTTGCATTAAAAATAAAACCTCTGAATTTCTGGCTTCTCTTGGAGACCGTGAAGACCTGGCATTGCTGGACACTGGCCCTGTGCTGCCCCTCGGACCAGGCCGCCCTGCTCCCACGGACGGGCCCGGGCCAAGGGCACTGGCTGGGGCTGAGACGTGGGGGTGCCTCCCCCCACAGCTGGGACGAGGGGCTTGCCTGCCCTCCAGGGTGTCTAGGGCTGGCCCAGACCACCACGGGGGGAGGGCGGGGGGGGGAGGGCTCCCCGGGAGGGCTCCCCAACACCAGGGTGTCTGGACAGAGCAGGGCCGTCTTCCTAGGAACTCAGAGGGAAGCCAGGCAGGCCTGCCCGAGGCCCTGCCCTCTTCCCTCCACGGGCGGGGACAGAACGAGACTCCGCACCTTGGGACAGTGGGAGGTGGGTTTCCAAAGAGCATTCTTACCCATCGGCAAGGCAATTGCTGGCACCCAAGCTGCTGTCCAGACACCCCACCCCCTTCAACGGACCCTCCTTTCCACTCAAGGGCTGCTTTACCCAAATGCCAAGAGCTGCCAGAAGGGAGCAGGGGAGTGGGAACCGAGGTGGGAGGCCAGGAATCAGGCACCTGGGAGTGGGCTTCCAGGACCCACCGGGCCGAAGGGAGCTCCCGGAGCCGGAGTCCCGGGGGTTCACCCCGCTCCGCTCTGTGGTTATCTCGGCATCCGTGCAGTGACTGCAGCTTCCAAAGCTGTGCATCTTGGGTAAGTTACTCAACCTCTCTGTGCCCGTTTCCTTCTCTATAAAGAGGATCATTATAGTGCCTACGGGGTCGTGGGTTGTTCCGTGAGTTCAGCGAGTCAGTGCCAGGCACAAAGTAGCCACCATATCCGTGCGGGCTGATTCCTGTCTTCACGCACTGCCAGGACCCACCCCTTCGCAGGCGGGGGGCGCAGCTCAGAGGGGACCCCCGTGCCACCTGGCCAGCCTTCAGTGGACTCTGACTCAGTTCCTGGAGGCAGCACAGGCTACCTTTGACCCCAAATCCAAAGCATATTCTTAATAACATCTTTTATTGATTTTGCAAGAGAAAAAAATAGAAATTTACTTTCGAGTTAATGCCTGTAGTAGCCTTTCTTTCCTCCGAAATTGCAGGGTACATACATTTCTATAGACATCAGCTGGGATCCCAGGAGCAAGTGCGCCGTGCCCAGGCACGAGGGGCAGCTGGTCACCGAGCTGGTGTGGTCGGCCCCACCCCCGGCGGCAGCTCTCCTGGGAGCCGAGCGGGGAGGGGGGGGTGGGGGGGCCTTTGGGAGGTAGGCAGAGAAGCAGGGGCCTGGAAGCGACAGAGATGATGGATCCTCTCGGGGAGAGACAACTCCTTATCTTCACGTGGCCCCACACTCCAAATGAGAAGCGCGTTTGCATGGCTGCCCGGGAAGCTAAAGCGTGAAGCATGCGCCAGCTCGGGGTTGCACAGGGACGCACTGGAGGACAGTGACGCCGGGCTGGGCGCCAGGAAAGCAACGGATCCATAGTGGGAAGGAGAAATGACCCCCCACTGGGAAGCCAATTAGGTCCATGATCCGAGCTTGTTACATAGATGGAAATAGACGTGTTCTGGGCTTTGCTGGGGAAGGGGGGGGGGCACGTTTCCAACTGGCTGGGAAGCTGCTGGAGGAGGGGAGCGCGGGGCGGGCAGCAGGAGCCTCCCTGCCCTACGCAAGGGCCAAGGGCGTGGGCAGGACTGCAAGGGAGAGAGCCAGCAAGAGGAGCCGCCATCATCGGCGAGCGGGAGGGCAGGTCCCTCCGAGTTCAGGTGGAAGGGGAGGAGCTCGGGTGGCCCTGGTCCTCTGCCTCCCTGCCTTCGGCCAGAGGCATCTGGGGCCGAGTTGCCGGCCAGTCCTATCTGGGCAGCTCCCTCCCTTCCCTCAGCAGCAACAGGCCCTTGGCCAGAGGACGGAGCCTTGCAGAACCGGGCCCCGAGGGAGTCTGTCCTGTCCACTGGTGAAAAGGGGCTGTTGCAGTCTGGGACGGCACCCCCAGGGCCACCCCCCCGAGTGCCGGTGTTTGCGGCCTGGCCCTGCCCTCCGCCCAGCGCTCCCGGCTGGGGGGAGGCCTCCCCAGCCCACTGCCTCCTCCAGAGTCAGCCTGGCTCAGGGCCCAGGACGGCGGAGCGTGAGCCGGGCCTGCTTTGCCGGGTCTCACTGGAAAGGTGGGAGCCACTGCGCCCACAGCAGAGCCCTGCCTCCTCCCGCCGGTGACCCCTCTTTTCCAAGACCGTCCACCCCTCAAGTCCCTTCTCCCCAGTGGGCTCTCTTCCAGTCTCTGGGGTCTGGGCTGGCTGACACTGGGGACTGAGGGGGGACAGGGTGCTGAGGGGGGCAGTGAGGGAGCCCCAGGCTGACCGAGAGGACCCGCTCTCCCTCCTTCACCAGTCAGCATCGCCACCGTCTCGCCGTCTCCTCGCTTATGCAGGTTTTGGGGCGTAAGGCTGTGAAGGGAGAGCACAGAGAAATCAGCACTACCCAGCTCAGCCGGGGGGCTGCCCCACAGCCCAGGCTGAGGCCCCAACTGCCTGGGTTTCCACCCAAGGCCACACGGACCTGCCCCCTGCAGCTCCCAGTGGCACGGAGGCTGGCACCCTGCACCCTGACCTCCATCTGGGGCAGGCTCGGCCACGCTGCCCCCTCTCTTCCTGGCCAACTCCGTGCACCTTTTATTTCTTTATTTTAAAATTTATTTATTTTTTTAATCCTCACCTAGGGATATTTTTCTGTTTATCTTCCGATAGAGTGGGAGGGAAGGAGAGAGAGGGAGAGACACATTGATGTGCGAGAGACACATGGATTGGCTGCCTCACACGTGACCCTGACCAGGGCTGGGGACAAACCACAACCGAGGTTCGTGCCCTTGGCTAGAATCGAACCCACAACTCTGTGGTCTGCAGGCTGATGCTCTCACCGCTGAGCAAAACCAGCCAGGGCAACTCCATACACCTCGTAGAATGACTCAACCACCACCCACTCTGGGGAGCCCTGGCGCTGTGTGACCTCCACTGGTGTGCAGGGCCCAGGCGACCCGGCAACAATGTGCTTCTGCCCCAGGGCCTTTCCTCGGGGCAGCGAGCCCTGGCCTCCGGGCAGCCGTGCCGGCCGAGGGCCTGCGGGAGGCCGCCCTGGGCCCTGCCTCCTCGGCCGGCCAGCCCCCGCCAGGCTGCGGAGGAGAGGGGCCCAGGGCAGGCGGCCGAGCAGGCGGGCCGAGCAAGGGTGGGGCGGCCGCGGGCTCCTCCTCTGCGGGCTCAGAGGCCCGAGGCTCCTCCAGGCCGAGGCGGACGCTGACCTGGGTCCACCGCACCCTGCTTCCTTCTCGCGCTGCTCACGATCTGGTTCTCGTTCAGCATCTGCACGTCCTGGTCCTCCACCCGACTGCTGCGGCAAGGGGAGAGGGGCCGGTCAGGCTCAGGCAGGTGGCCCTCGCCTGCTCGGCGGGCTGGCGGGGGGCCCCGGTCCCGCGCACCTGACGGCGGTGCGTCTCTCCTGGTGGGCGGCGTCCACGTCCTCGGTGAAGAGGATGGTGTGGTAGGGCACCGTGGGCTCGCACGTGGGCAAGATGCCCCCGACCAGGTGGCCCACCATGGCCAGGATCCCGTTGTACACGAGCAGGTCGTCCACCAGGAGCTGCAGACAGAGGAGGGCTGTGCGGCGGCCGAGGGGTCCCCTCCGCCCACTCGTGAGCCTGGGCAGGCGTCACTGCACGGAGCCTGCCCCCTGAGTCCTGGCCTGCGGTGCGACTCGGGCTCTCCACGACCAGGGAGGAGGCCGCTAGCCCGCCTTGCGGACGCGGAAGCTGAGGCTCAAGGGGCTGAAACACCTGCTCTCCCCAACCCCGAGTCACCCCCGGGAAAAAAAACTCCTTAAATCGGTATGATTTGAGCAGAAACGATGAGAGAAAATCCACTTTGTTTTTTCAGGGTGATGATTCAAATCCCTCGGAGGAGGTCTGAAGTCACGGTTGGGTGGGAAGCCCCCTGCGTGGAGGCCAGGCCTCCGCATCTACGGCTGCAGCCCCGAGCTCAGAGGGCCACTGCCGGCGGCCTAATTACCAACGAGCATAATTGCCTCAAAGAGCCCGGCTAATAAGTACTTACGCCAAACTCCTTCACCCCTCGATGGGGTGTTTTCGCGTAGTTCCACAGCTTGATCATTGACACGGTGGTAGGCAGATCGAAAATCACATACACCCGGTTCACCTGTCAGGGAGACAAACTAATTGAAACCGGCATGTTTGCAAACAGCAGCCCTGCACGGGGGGGGGGTGGGGGGTGGGGGGGGGCAGCCCGGGCCGCTCAGGGCCTCGGGGGGTCAGCCACTGTCCTCTCCTCAGCCCATCGCGAGTCAGGTCACGCGGAGCTGCGTTTGCAACACTCGGCCGAGCCGGCTCTTGGAGGGCCTGCTTCCTTGGGCCTGGCGTGGCCCCCATTTAAATACCCACAGACAACTGGGGGCGCCCTCTCCTTTCCCCGGGCCAGAACACAGTCTGGGCAGTGCAGCAAGGGGCCGGCCTCAACCCGAGCAAGGAGCACTACCCCGGCGACCAGCCAGCCCGGCCGTCCTCCCCAGGCGTAATGGGAAAACACAGAAGCCCGAAGGCACTGCTGGGTAATTTTCTGTGTCTGGATCTCTGTGGGGCGTGGGGGTGGGGGTCCAGCTCAGCAGCAGAATCAGCTGGTAAAGTGGAACCCGATAGCCTCCCACCCTCCCTCCCCAACAGAAACTCCAATGTCAGGGGCTCTTTGCAAGACAGAACGAGCAGCGAGCCTTCGGCGGTGGCCGGGCTGTGGGGTGTCTGCCAGCTTTGCCCTGGTTTTCAGCCTGTGGCCCTCCTGGTGCCCCAAGCTCCCACCGGCAGCCGGGCTGGCACGGGGACCACACTCTGGCCCGGGTCTAAGAACTGAGTCTGTCACTGCCCTTTGCAGGGCTTGGGGCTGGGCTTGGGCCTGGGCTTGGGGCTGGGCACGGGGCCGGCGCGGGGGGCCGGGCGCGGGGCTGGGAGCGGGGCCTGGGCGCGGGGCTGGGCGCGGGGGGGGGGGGGGCGGGCGCGGGGCTGGCGTGGGGGCTGGCTCCCATGCAAGGGAAGCTGCGGGACCCTTGATGGCGGGGGGCCACTTGGGGGAAGTGTCTCTGGAAAACCTCCCTCACAGAACTGTGGGTGCTGCCCCTTCCTGTGGGTGTTTTGAGAGGAAAACGTGCCGCCTCCTCCTGCCAACCCCATGGAGTGGAAAGGGGATGCGTCAGTGGTCGCACGGATGCCCGGGCGCTGCCACTCATCACTGCCCAGGCACCTGGCTGTGCCCTCCTCTGGCCCCCCTCCCACCTCCACAACCAGGTCGGGGAGGCAGAGGCCACCCCGAGGCTCTCCGTCAGGCTTCGGAGAGAAGAGATGAGGACGACCAATGGCAGGTCTGAGACTGGGGAAGTCAGTCAGTTGGCCGGAAGAGATGACCAGGCGGACTTGTGCCAGAGACAGGGCATGGGGTCAAGTGCCCAGTGACATAAGGAAGGAGCAGAAAGAGCCACTCGGAGAGGCCGGAGTGGGAGGCAGGGGCAGTGTCGGCCAGAGAGAAGGCCGAGTGAGCCTGCAGACCGGGTGCCCAAGGCCCAAGCCCGCTGCACCGGAGCTCCCGGCTTCGGAGCCAGACGAGGCCCCTTACCGCCCTGCTCCCTTGCACACCCCACCACCACCGCAAAGACAGAACCACTGGCCGGAAGAGCTGACCCCCTGATGGCAGCAAACACCTAGGCCTTCCCGATGGTTCCCACATATATGGACTGGCTCCGGGCCGGCTCCCAGCCCCCCAGGGTCGAGCGCTGCTGGAAACCCACCAGGCCAGGCAGGATGGGAGCCAGCCACATGTGCCTGCCGTCACTGGTGTCGTTCACTTGGTCGATGAGCTTGTCGGGCGTCCGGACGTCCCCGCACACGCCCTCCAGGGAGTTGACGCTGTCCGGGAAGGCGGCGATGTCTGAGGGGGACGCTAAGCTGCCATAACTCGGGGCACCGTGCTCAGCACCACGCACCACCCTCGGGCGCGGCTCCGTCACAGACGGGGCTCAGGCACCTGGGCTGGCGGGCGGAGCAGCCTGGGAAGGGGCAGCCCGATCAGACAAGTTGGGGGGAAAGGAGACCACGGGGCCGAGGGGCGCAGGGCTGAGTGCGAGGACAGGAGGCCGGTTCCGAGGGGCGGGGAGGAAACCCCGCGGAGATGGAGAAAGTGTTTCCGGGAGCTGCTGGGGTAGGAGCCAAGTATGCCGCTGCCACTCTGGGGAGCGGAGGGTTTCTTTCGCACGGGAACGGGGTCCACGCCAAGACTGGAAGGACTGGAGGGGCCTGCCCCAGCTAACAGCCACTCCACCGACAGGCACTGGCTCTGCCATTCTGACCTGAGACCTTGGGGGCATCATGGGATGTCTCTGGGCCCAGTTCCTCATCTACCAAGTGGGTGTACACATCTCTGTCCCCGAGCTGAGAGGGTCTCCAGGACACAGGATGTCCACTCTCGTGGTAGAACCAGGGAGCCTTATGCAGCAAGGATCGTTTATCCCAGGAGAGAAGGTGGTGACACCAGGGGAAGGCAGGAAAGGGCCCCACTGGAACCCAGGGACCCCACTGAGCTGCGAAGCAGGCTCTGGGGTCTCACCTGCTCTGGCGGGTCCCTAACTGGGGTGCTTCGGGATCACAGATCAAGAGCCCAGAGGGGTCAGGTGACATCGGAGAGAGACACACAGCTCAGTGTCAAGAGCACGGTCTCTGGAGTCAGACCCCAGCTCCACTGCTCTCGGGCTGTGTGGCTTTGGGCAAGTACTCAACCTCTCTGTCTCGGTTCCTCATCTGTAAGATGAGGACAACAGCACTCACTTCACAAGGTTGCTGAGGGCAAATGAGGTACCAGCGACAAGCCCTGGCACAGGCCTGGCATAGAGGAGCCCTCGTGAACATTAACATTGGGCTTGGGGGCCTGGTAGATAACAGTAAGGCCTGAGGCCTGAGATCAACGGGAAGTACGCGCTTAGGGGAAAGGTAGCGGATACCCATGTCCAGCCACCTTCACTATGTGTGACTGCGGCCTGGCACTGCCAGTTTCTCGAGAGAAGCTGAACATCGAGGTTTTTGTGTGAAAACTGATTTATAAAAAACACTAATTTAGCCTGGCCAGTGTGGCTCAGTGAATTGAGCGTAGTCCCATGGACTGACAAGTCCTGGTTCCATTCCTGGTCAGGGCACATGCCCGGGTTGTGGGCTCGATCCCCAGTGGGGGACGTGCAGGAGGCAGCCGATCGATGTTTCTCTCCCATGGATGTTTCTATCTCTCTCCCTGTTATAAAATCAATACAGTCGTTATTGAAAAAACAGCGATAGAGTAAAGTCGCGAACATCGAAGTGCAAAGTGGCGAGGGATGACTACTTCGCGGGAATTCATTTATCAAGGTAGAGTCTGGAGCTGATTAACTGCAGTAAACGAGGGCTGACTGTAAATCATATTTTTTAAAAATACTAATTTAAAATAGATAAGAACTCACTGGCTAACAGTGACACCCTGGTGCAGGCACTCCATGAACAAAGGGCTCTATGGTCAATAAATGCAGGACAGTGTAACAGGTTGCTCCCTACAGGCCTTGCCAGAGCCTTCAGAACAAAGTGCCTGTGTTGTCCCAAGAGGGCTGCGGGTGGCGGCTCCCCAGTTCTCCGGACCACAGGGCTGTCTGGGGGAGCTCCTGGTGCGGAGCCTTACTCGGCGTGGCTGGGAGCCGCTCTGCCTGCCCTGAAGGACCAGCACCTGACTGTAGGCAGGGCCCAGTGGCATTTTTTTTCTTGTTCGGCCTCACCCAAAGATATTTTTTTCATTGATTTTTAGAGAGAGTGGGGAAGGGAGGGGGAAGAGAGAGAGGGGGAGAGAAACACTGATGTGAGAGAGACACATCGATTGGTTGCCTCCCCCACACGCCCTGACCAGGGCTGAGGATTGAACCTGCAACCCAGGTACGTGCCCTTGACCAGGAATCGAAACCAAAACCCTTTGGTGCTCGGGACAGTGCTCTAACCACTGAGCCCCACCGGCCGGGGCCCCTCTGGCACTTTCAATCCAGGTCTGGTTCCTGCAGGGACAGGCCCTCTACAGTCGAGGCTGCTGGCCCTTCCCCTGCCCTCGCGCTCCCTGCGGCCCGGCGGACCCCTCCGACCGGGAAGGATACTGTTTTCCGACAGAGGGATCTTCTCTCCCCGCTCATCGTACAACTCCAGGCCGGTGAGGCCGATGTAATAGGGGTCACCCCAGCTGGTCAGGAGCTGAAACTGAAAAATGACTGGGGCATGTTATTAAGGAAAACAGACTAATTTTCTGAGGACAAAGTAAAACAATGATAAAGACAACAGGGACATACGTTTCGGTTTACACAGAGGAACGAGAGCAGCCAGTGAGCTCCCGCACCGAGACCCAGTCCTCAAAACACACGTGGCATCAGATCTCTCATTTACACTGTTTGTGTTGAAGACTCCAAACCTCTCCCCAGGGCCCAGGAGAGGGGGACAGGAGGGGACGCGCCCCCCCGGCAGCTGGGAGGATGCACTGCGCCACAAACGCACTTACGGGCTGAACAACTGCATGGCTGCAGGGTCCAACTGCCTCGTGCCTCAGTGTACCCGACTGTAACATGACAAGAACAGGGGCCCGTCCCCTCCTCCATCCGCATCAAGTCTGTGGGCTGTGTCGGGGGAGGAGGAGACAGGAGCTTCACGGCATCGAGAGGCACGGGCGGTGGCAGGGTGACCCACCACTGCGCCCCAGGCGTCCGGTCTCTCCCAGCTCTCCCCTTGCTCCCAGCATTCCCGGGGCAGGCAGGGCAGGAAGCCGAGAAGTGGCAGCGGCCCCCAGGTGAAGCCGGAGCGGAGGCAGGCCTTCCAGAGCACAGACCCGGTCCTGTGGCCCTGGCAGGTTCTCTCCCAGCTCTCCCCTTGCTCCCAGCATTCCCGGGGCAGGGCAGGAAGCCGAGAAGTGGCAGCGGCCCCCAGGTGAAGCCGGAGCGGAGGCAGGCCTTCCAGAGCACAGACCCGGTTCTGTGGCCCTGGCAGGTTCTCTCCCAGCTCTCCCCTTGCTCCCAGCATTCCCGGGGCAGGGCAGGAGGCCGAGAAGTGGCAGCGGCCCCCGGGTGAAGCCGGAGCGGAGGCAGGCCTTCCAGAGCACAGACCCGGTTCTGTGGCCCTGGTCTTCCCCGCTGAGGCAGGGCTGCTCCCGGCACCCGCACATGGGCGAACGCCGTGAGCGATGCAGGCAGCCCGCTGGGAAGTGCCGGCAGCTGGGGTCCAGTAAGTCCAAGCTAGTGTTCCTGTCTTCAGTCCTCCCTGCCGGGTCCCAAGGACAGCCCGTCTAGTCCCCGGGTCAGTTCCAGCTTCTCTGGCCCCTCCCGGCTGGAGTCCTTGCCCACTAGGGGGCGGGCTCTGGACCGCCTGTGCTGCCCCAGCGCCAGCAGCCCCGTGTGCTTGAGGACCCCGGGGCCTCCCATCCTCTCCTAGGTGGTCCAGCTGCCCGGCTGGGGCCAGAGCCCACCTCGGCCCGCAAGGCGGCTACCAGGGCCATGCCCTTCCCCTGGGCGCTAGGCCTGGCCCCCAGGCACAGGCGTGAGAGGCTGGGAGAAGGATACAGCCACAGGGCATCAGCGGTGCCTCGTAGTCCATGCTTGCCCGCTCCAGGCTTTTTGTGTGGAGCCTGAAAAACCACAAAACAGCACCAGTAAGCAGGACAGGGCGGCTCGAAGGGCTGGCAGTTACTCCTGGGCAACAGACTCTCAAGACACTCGGGTGGGGGGCAGCTGAACCCCGGATTGCGTGGAGCCCCCATTCTACTGGGGAGGCTCCGTCATGGCCAGCTCGGGCCCAGGCTTGACTGATGTGCACTCCTCACGCCGCGGCCTCCCCGAGCAGGTGGGGCTCATGTCCCTGGGCGGAACGCGGGAACTGGAGCTCAGAGAAGCAAAATCACCTGCTCCAGCTCACACAGCTAGCAGGAGGCAGGACGGGGACGTGCCCGAGGTTGTCCAATTCCAGAGCTCCCTTCGCCACCCCGCTCTACTGCCCCGTCATGAGCAAGGAAAGTCCATGTTGCACTGAGAGCTGAGCGAGACCCCAGATGGGGCCCCCGGGGGAGAGCTGGACGGGCAGGAAGGCACTGTCTGAGCTTAGCAGGAGGGAGCGGGGAAGTCACGCCTTCCAAGCCCGAGGGGCTGGGGGGGTGGAGGCTGGAAGGGGGGGATCGCCCTGAAGGCTTTGGCTTCCTGATCCTGAGCACGTGGCTCATATTCCTCCCCACAGGCTTCTCCCACTGGTCTGCGGCCAGTGCCCTCCAGCCCTGGCCTGGTGTCCTTCACTTTCAAGGGCAACATTAAAATTAAGTGACTGTTCCCAGTGACTGGCCCACGAAGTGATCCCAGCTACCACGGAGGGAAATTCATTCTGTTTCGAGAACTTGGCCTCTGGTGTTTGGCCACCGGAGGTTTGAACGAGTGGCCCTGACGTGGCGTTGACAAATAGGTATGAACCCAATGCGGCCGAAAGTGGGGCCAAGAACCCCGTGAATCCGTGAAATGTCAGGCTCCGTTTTTCTCTCTGAATCTAAGTCAGGAACGGAGACAAGGGAGGGAGGCCCTTCCCGAACCCGCCGGCGGGCACTGCTGGAAGAGGCAGGCAGGATCCTCTCTTCCCAGCGGGAAGCCTAACGCAGCGTTTAAAATCTCAAGCTCTCCAGACTGAGAAATCCAAACGCCCAGACAAGGTGGGTACATCCCACAGGCTTCCTGAGAGGCTTGGCTGAGCTTTAGAAACAGCCAAGTTGAAAGGCAGTGTGTTTGATCACCATTTCAAACGCTGTGGGCAGACACGGCAGAGCTGCGGCCAGCAGACCAGACCGCGGGCAGCCGGGAGTGGTGGGCGCTCACCTGGGGGCCGGCGGGGGCAGGAGCGGAGCTCGCAGGCAGTCCACAAAGAGGATCTCTTGTGCAAAATCAAAGTGGCAGTTGCCGGGCCCCTTCCGGATGAGAAAGCCCTCTGGAGGGGAGATGCACAGGCCGTCCAGGGAGACGTGGACGGTTCTGGCCTAGCAAACGAAAGGACACGTGCCTGAAGGAGGGCCAGCGAGGAGGCAGCAGGCGTGCGACGCGGCCGGTGCCTCCTCCCAGACCTGCCCGCTTTCCAGTGCTCTGCCAGGCGCGGTGCTGGGTGCTGGGCAGACAGCAGGGGCAGGCACGTGAGGCCTGCCACAGGGCACACATAGCCGGTCCACTCAGTCGCAGTGGCCTGAGGTGGTACGATGTGGTGGTCAAGGGCATGGACCGGGCGCTTGACACCCGTTATTAGGAGTTGTACAACTTACTTAACCTTCCCATGCCTCAACGTCCTTAGCTGTTAAATGGGCTCAATAACGAAGCAACTTACGTCAAGTATCCAGAGCAGAACAGTGCCTGGCACAAAATAAGTGCCGCTCCTTCCCCAGTCCTGGCTCAGTCACCAGGTCCCAGCGCTGCCCTTCTTCCTCCCCAGAGCCCTCTGCTCCCCTTCTAGGGCACCAGCTCCCAGCAGTGTCCTTGCTGGTTTGTGGGTCTCCCTTGGTGGCAGAGCCCTCGGCTGGGCCGTCTCTGCATCTGCCTCAGGGCCTGGCATGCTAAGAGCTGATGTGGGCCAACAGGTCCCCTGTGCTGGGTCAGATTTGCCAACAGAAGGCCGGGATCGAGCGGCAAGTCTCACAGCGGTGATGTCGGGGTCTGAGGAGGCTCAGCGGAGCGATCAGTGGGGATAAGCAGCACCCTCTCTCCAACCACACGTTGGGGAATCAAGGCTCCTTGGCACCTTGCCCGCCCTCATGGCTGGCAGTGCGGGCCCAGCCGCGGACCACACCGGTGGAATTGGAGCTCCGGGGGCTCAGGGAGATGCAGAGAGAACGGGCCGGGCCCTGGATCTCGGGGGTGCTGGGCTCCTGGAGCCTTCGCTCCTTCAGCACTAGGGGAACCCCCTTATGTCGGTCAGTTAGTCACAGGGCACACACACCTGAAAAGCTTCAGGCATGGCTGGATCGGGGCCCAAAGCTGTCACTGTGTCCACTCTGCTGTCTCCAAACCGAATTCCCACCCTGACCCCAGGGCTGGACCTGTGACCCTGGCCTCGCCAAACCGAGAACTCAAACCCGCTGGTCGTGTGACTGGTTCAGCCTAATGGAACTTGGCCAGAATAATGGGCTGGACTCCGGGGTTCGCGGGCCTGCCTCAGAGGAGGCCTCTCTTCTGCTGGACCTGGAGCCTGCAGGCCCAGCGCCGCCAGGTCCGCCCTGAGCAGAAGGCCGCCCGAAAGGGAGCTGGCAGCAGAGCCGAGGGCCCGGGAGCCCCGTCCCTCTTCTGGGGCCGCCCCCTCCTCCAGGAAGCGGTCCTGACCCCAGTTCACCGCCACTGCTCACTCCCTCGGGCGCTGGGAGGTCCTCTATCACCACCTCCGCCTTCCCCAGGAGGCGAGTCCAGAGGACATCGCTGTGGTTGGAAGTGCTCGCTCTGCCCGCTCTGACGGGGCCTGTCGCCCTCTCCCATGGTGGCACCTGGCACCGAGGACGGTGGGGCCAGACCTGGGGCAGGGCTCTGGGCCCAGCGTCTCCAGGACATGAATCCCGGTCACAGAAGGTGAACTGGAAAGACTGATGCGCTCAAGAGAATGTAGAGACCCAGAGCAGGAGTTGAAGCATAAGAATGGGTTTTTAATCTGGCTTTTTAAACGAGCCGAGCCTGAGACAACACTTACACAGACCAGGGCAGCCTAGGGTGGTCTGTAGCTGCTCTGGGGGACAGGCCCAGGGCTGGGGCTGCCACAGGGTAACCCGCCAGTCCTCGAGGCCGCGGCCCTGCGGGACAGCTCTGTGGCACCTGGTGGGGAGCCCAGGCCTCAAGGCCAAGTCCTGGCTTTGTCAACTTTCGTGTGGCAAAGGGTGATGACCCGCCTCCTGAGGCAAGTATCATTCGTCTCCCTCGTCGTTTCACAGACAAGGAAATGAGGGCCGAGGAGCGCCGGCCACTTTCTGCAGGTCGCCCAGCTGGTCGGGTCGGGGGAGAGGCAGGCTCGGGCCGCGCCCTCAGCCCCCGCACTGCTCTGCCACAGTGGAGGTGGCCTGGCCGTCAGCGCGTCTCTGCGGTGGGAGGAGATGGGGCTTCACGGTGCAGGGTCACAGCAGAGAGGCCACGGGAAGGGGCACCCTGCCGCTGCCCCCACACGCAGGCAGGGCCCCGCTCGGCACACCCAGCAGAATGTGGAGTGGACTTGGAGCTCCAAGGCCGTGGGAGCTGGGCTGAGCTCCGTGACCTGGATGAGTGACTAGACCTGAAAGATGGGCGTAATACTACTTGCTTCCCAGAGGTAGGGATGAGCACCCAATAAAATGACTTCCTGAGAAGCCCTTAGACCAGGGCCTGGCCCCCCAAGCGCTCAATGAACAACAGGGCCCAATCGAGCACTACGAGTCGAGGGCTGGGCCTGGGGACCCAAGCGCCCGGGAGACCAGGTGCCGGTTCCCAAGCCTGCCGGCCCTTGCGGCTGCGGCTGCTGTCTGGGAGGAAGCCCAGCGCGCTCTCCCTGGCTGTAGCCCCCACGGCCACCGGGAAAGTTCGGGAGGATTTATGCTCCTCTCTGGCAGCCACACCGGCCATTCATCAAGGCGCCGGTCCCTTGACAGTGGCTGAGCGCGGCCGCCGCGCCCGCTTACCCCTCGATAGGTGTCCTCGGGAGATTTATTGTAGTTCCAGAAGCGCAGGCCGGCGATGCTCTGGGCTCTGTCGAAGCAGATCGTGACCACGTGGTCCAGCCCCGGCGAGAAGGGGATCAGCCACATGTGCTCATCCTCCATCGTGATGTTGGCTCCATCGATCAACCTGCAGGCAGTGGGCGCGGCATAGGGGGTGGGTGGCCCGGAGCGGAATCCCAGCCCAGGCGACACCCACGCATGTCCCCCTGCGCCCGCCCGCGGGGGCCTGGCTGCTTGGGGAGTCAAGGGAGGTGAGACCAATTAAACCAACAGTGAGGGGCCACCTCTCATCTGTGAAATGAGAGAAAAAATAACAGTCTGGGCCGTTTAAAGCGCAGTGAAGCAATCATCCAAGTATTTTGAAAAGGGGGGAGATATGTCATTTTTTAGGACCCTCTAACCCCGTGACCCCATTTCTGGAATTTCCTCTCCTGAGGAAAATCTCGTCAACGTGTCGGAAAGGCTGCCTGCACCAAGATATTCACTGCGGTCTTTTATTTACAGCAGAAAGAGAGAGAACCTAAGGGGAACGTTCACGTGAACCTGGGCGGTTGTTCGCGTGCCCGTCTCGAGGCTGGCGCAGCGCACGGCCAAGGTGGGCTGCGGGACGGCAGGGGCCTGCTTTCCTGCTGTAAGCCGAGGACAGGGCCAGAGGGACGGAGGTGCACGCGGTCTGTTTCCCAGACCTCCTGCGAAGTGCTGCACTGCCTCTACGTCCTGTTGGTGCTGGGAGAGGCACGGGGCCCAGTGAACTGGCAGCTCCGGGGCGTGGGGCAAGGGCGGGAGGGGTCTCTGGGCCGCGACCACACAGCTGAGCGGCTCAGGGAGCTGCCAGAGGAGGAGGAGCCCGGCCCCGGGCTCCCGGCTGCTCCGCTGCTTGTCCTCTGGCTCACGGCGCACTCCCATCCGGGCAGTCTGTCCTCCTGCCCGGACACCCTGCCGCAGCCCCTTCAACTCTGCCCCGGTTTGCCCCCGAGACTGGACTGGCGCCGGCTTCCCGGGCTCGGGCAGGGCCGCTGCGAGGCTGGGCCGCGGCCTCCCTCTCACTGGCCTGGTGCCTCTTGAAGCTGCGGCGTCAGCAGACTCGCTGCTGCCGTGTCTCCTGTATTGTACGTACGTACGTATGTGTGTATGTGTGTATGTATCTATCTATCCTCACCCAAAGACGTGCTTATTAATTTTTAGAGGAAGGGGAAGGGAGGGAGAGAGAGAGAGAAACATCGACGTGAGAGAGACACATTGATCGGCTGCCTCCCATACATGCCCTGACCCTGAACTGAACCCACAACCTTTCAGTGTATGGGAGGATGCTCCAACCAGCTGAGTTTATTTCTTGAATTTTAAAATAAACTTTATATTTTCCTTTTATATTTAAAGAATTTAAATTTGGAATAAATCTTATCATCTAAGTGCTCATCCAAGGAGGTAATTTTCTTTTCTCTCTCTCTAAAAGGCTATTATTAACTCGATGGATGGTGTGTCTTATGATTGCTGGCACCTCAGAACTGAGGAAGTTCGGCAGCTTAAGGGGGTGTTGTGGAACTGGCGGACTGAGGACCACCACCAGAGAACCTGTGTTTCCTTCCGGAAGCAGTGACCTCTCTGTCCGAGACCCGGCTGCCCCCAGGGCAGAGCTGCTCTGCCGTCTGAGAGGAGAGAGGACCGCGAAGGTTCACAGCAGCGGGGCAGGGGTCCCTACAGACACCCTCAGGAACACCCAGGTGACACTCCCCAGCCGAGTCCCTGACAGCCGTGAATCAGGGACTAAACCAGTAGCCACGAGCATCCCTGGAGGCTGGATTATGGTCTCTCGCCACCATGTCCCACTAGCAGGAACTAGAGCATCATGGAGAAATGACTGAGTCCGTGTCTGGGACAAGAAATATACAAGATGAGTACACTGAAACTTATGTAATAAAAGAATTTTTTAAAAAAGAAGCATATACAACGAGCCTGAATGTCCCTCCCCGTCAGAAGGCAGGGTGCTGCCAGAGGCCACTGTTTTAAACAGGATCCAGCAGCCCCCAGGGTCTCAGAACATCTGATCAAGCATCAATAGGACAGAAACTACAATAAATAGACTGAAACCCTCCAAACACAGTCTATTTAAATCCAAAGTTATGATAATCAAAAATAACCAAATGTTTTAAAGGATACTAGAGAAACAACTGGCTGTTTTGAAAACTAAAACATAAAAGGAAGGAATCAAGCATTTAGACTGCTTTCCTATTTGAATTATACCTCAGAGCAACCAAATAATTGAGGGAAAGTTTCTCTTTATTGATGAAAAAAAGAATGACAGGATCAGTCTATCACCAGCTTGCAGATCTAGCCACTGAACACTGGCCACAAACATCACACAGAACTGACAACCCTGAGGGAATGGACAAGGACATCCCCACCCCAGCGGTCAGGCCCCAATCTGATCAGGCCTCTAGATCTAAGGAACAATTTATAAGAAACACAGGGGCCTGTGGAACAGGTTCAACAATCCCAGACAGACGCAACCAGTAAAATCCAGACTCTGCATGGCAAAACAAAAAACTCCTACTTTCTTCAAAAGATAATTTATCAGGAAAAAAAAAAGGAAAAAGATGGAAAGAAAGCAAGAGATTTTAAGAGGCTTAAGGGACATTATCAACCAATCACAATGTATGGACCTTTTCTGGGTCTCTTATCAACCAACCACAATATAGAAACCTTATCTGGGTCTCAAATCAACCGATTACAGTATAGGGACCTTATCTGGGTCTCAGTCAAGAAATAAACTATTAAAAAACATTGTTAGGCCCTGGCCGGTTTGGCTCAGCGGTTGGAGTGACGTCCTGTGGACCAGAGTATGGGTTTGATTCCAGTTAAGGGCATGTATCTTGGTTGTGTTTCAACCCCTGGCCCTGGTCGGGGTCGTGTGAGAGGCAACCAGTCGGTGTGTCTCTCTTACACTGATGTTTCTCTCTCTCCCTCCCTCCCTCTCTATCTGAAAATCAATAGAAAAATGTCCTCTGGTGAGGATTTAAAAAAAAAAAAAAAAACCATTGTCAGGAAAACAGGAACATGTTGAATATCTAGTAATTTAAAGAACGATTGTTAATTTGGGGGATATAATAATAGTACTGAGATTATGTTTTCTTTTTTAAAGTTCTTACTGTTCAGAGATACATCCTGAAATATGTAGAGAAGGGATCCTATCAGGCCTGGGGTTTGCTGGGCAGGGGCGGTGAGCGGTGTGTGTGGCGGAAGCCGGGCCACGGGCCCCCGTCCAGGTCGTAGGAGTGTGACTCGCCAATGTGCAGAGCACAGAGTGGCCCCCGGTAGGCAATGACAGCAGGGCGTGAGCAGCTCCGACGTGGAGTCCCCTTCCCACCCTCCGGCCATCCTGCCGGTAAGGAATCCAGGGCAGAGGGAGCCAGTGTGGTTTGGCTTGTGCTGGGTATTGTTCCCCCACAGCCTGCGTTCTAACCACGACTGCTACTCAGCTGGTCTGAGTGACCTTTGCCAGTTTTTAACCCCCCTCTACCTCAGTTTACACAGGCACCTACCAATCCTATTATAAACGGATGAATATCTGTAACCTGCTTAGCATAGCTCCGCTCTGGCATTTAACAAGTGCTCAAAAAATGGCAACTATAATTTAGTTATTATCATCATCAACACTATTACTGTTGAAGAGGTTAGAAACTTACTAACTGGCAAGGGGCAGAGCCAGGATTTGAACTCTCATCCCTCTGACCCCTAGACTCCTCTGGTCACAGGTCTAGGCAGGGCGGGGCAGGCAGCTGTCCAGAGGGGAACAGTGCTGCCCTGCAGGTTATGGGCCCTGTGGACCGACGCTACCTTTCAGGTGTGTCCTCTTATTGACTGGAGCCAACCTGGGCTCGTGAAATCTGACAAATGCAGAGAAGAGTGCGGGACGTCCTCAGTCGTCACTTTCAGTGCCAAGGAAGGGAGCCTTCTGTCCTTGAGAGGGGAGGTCGCCATGTGAAAACGCAGAGCCGTCCCTGCAAAAGCTCACTGAGCAGCCCTGCGCCGGAGGCCCTGAGCGCCGCTGGGAAAGCAGCCAGCTCTGCTGCAGTGGGAGCCTGGCTGCGACCTGCCTGCCGCTTCCCGCTGCGGTCCTGGGGGCCTCCCTTTCCGAGTCTAGGCCTCTCTTGACCATAAGCTGGGATGACACAGACCTCGTGGGTGGCTGGGAGAAGGTGGAAGAGGGGTTTGCTCTTTGATGCCTGAATCTGAAGTCAGATGCAGAACAGGCCCCGGAGCCCCTGCCGCCATGAGAGTTAAGCTTCTTGCAGACACTTACTTGTCCAGGGTCCGGGAGTCATCCGTGTACTCGGGGAGGTCATTTAAGTCTCTGGGGGCGGCGGAGATCTGGTGCAGGTCGATGGGCAGGGCCTGGCCCTCCTTGCCCACCACTTCCAGGCCCGTGAGCCCCAGGTAGTGCAGGTCCCCCCACGAGGCGGTGAAGTTCAGCTGAAGGCCTGCAACAGGAGGAACAGCGGCCGTGAACACTGAGGTTCCGGAGGAGGTACCCAGGCTGGAGACGAGAACAGGAAACATCTATAGCATGTGCGTTCGGACAACTTGAACACCCAGGCACAAATGAAAGGGCCTGTAGGCTTGGCTCTGCCCCCTTCCTCCGGTGGCCCTCGGGCCTAGGACTCTGCTGGTGCTCGGGAAATGTTAGCGGGAGGAATGGACCAGCCCTGGATCCTTTCTCCGCCTGTCGACATTTAACACCCGGAGTGGCTTCCCATGATGCTTGGCCAACAGGCCTTGCCCACCTGGCTTCTATCTGTTTCTCTAACCTCATCTTGCACCAGGGTTCCTGGCTCCACTAAAACGGTCACTCAGTCACTCGTTTGTTTTCTTCTCCCCCGTCACAGGGCCTCTGCTCAGGCTGTTCTCTGTCTCTGGAGCGGACGTGGTCTGGTGAGCGTGTGCTCACCCTTCCGATCCCGGCTCACTCCCCCGGGGAAGCCCTCCAATCTCTCTGCCCACATCCAACCTCCTTCACAGCCTGCTGTGCATCTGAACGTCCCCTTCCACGCCCGGTCACCCTGCGATCCTGTGATCACTGGGATAAATGTGCTAGACGTAACTCCTCGAGGACAGAAACCCCACCTGCTTTGCTTTGTCCCCAAAGCCAGCCACAGTGCCTGGTCCATCGCAGGTCCATAGACACAGAACGATTAAGGAAGTAACCACATGGAGGCAGCGACATTAATGAGCCACACACTGGAGATGGATATTTCATGCACAGTGGCCACCATCATGAGGATTCACGTGGATTTGGGCGCAGGAAGTGACCACGCCCATCCATTCAGAAGTGATCTTCTGTGGGCCTGGGCACAGTGGCCCCAGTGAGCCACCCACTGGCCAAGAGAGCTCAAAACAAATGAACCTCTTGGTCGGGCCCGGTCAGATATCTGGCTGGACGGTCCTTACTTAATGGTCTCCCACTAGGTGCGACCAAGACCAGGGAACTCTCCCACCCTTGGAAGTCTCAGGGTGTCTAGCACCCTTGGGCGCTGTGTTCAAAGGGTTTGTGCTCTTTGTAACTCCGAGTGGCAGCACTGCGGCGCTGGGGGAGAAGCCTGCAGATCACGGGGTCCCACCTGTCCCAGCTCAGATGAGAGGCCAAGTGACGCCAGGCCCTGCCCCCCTGGGGCTCAGCTCCCTCTCCGGCGCCCGTCATTTCCAGCGCACGTTTTGTAACTCAGCCTCAGATCCCTCCGCTCACCATGGTGTCAGATGAAGAAGGCGTGTGACCAGCCTGGCCTGGGACACATGACAGCTTCTCACAGCACTGGTGGCATGCAAACTGGCCACAGCTCCCCTCCCTGCTCTTTGCAATGTGACTGTCTCTCCACGCCCTGACCTGGGCGGGGACTTGCCCTGCCCCGGAGCAGAGGCACAGTGCCGCAAGCGGGGGCTGCAGAGCTCGGGCACCGTGCTCGTCCTCCCTCCACACTGGGAAGGACACAGGTGAGCCGCGGTGCCCGGCACTCTGGACACGAGGCGTCCTGGACCATTCAGCTGCCAGCCCATCTGCTGCTGACCAGACACAAGAGCAGGCCCAGCAGATGCCGGCTGAGCCAGCTCAGAGAACTGCCCGGCCAAGCCGCTGAGTTACGAGCCAGCCATGAATGGGGGCTGTGGTCAGCCGCTCGAGTGTAGGTCGGTGAGTTCGGCCAAAGCTGACTGGTACACGTCCCATCACGAGCCTGTGCTCACGTGCCCTCCTCCGAGAGGCTTCCCCGACCACCTGCGTCACAGGGCACGGCGCCCACTGCGAGCCTGCTCACCTCGGGCCACAGCACACTGCTACCTGACCGCACGCCCTCATCACGTGCGGATCCGTCGTCATCAGTCCCCCCACGAGACGGCAGCCCCAGGGCGGGGCTCTGCCCTCTCCACGGCTGTGTCCCCAGAGCCTGACACAGCGTCTGCAGAACAGACAGGCAGCAGGGTGTTTTCTCTTGAAGTCAGTGGTGGATTGAGGAGCAGGCTTCAGTGGATGCTTGCAGATAAGTGAGTCACAGTCGAAGCAGTGAATTTCACCAAATTCATTCTTCAAGGTGAACACATATTTGCCGATCGCCTACTATGCACCAAGCCCTGCTCTTGGCACCAGAGATACAGGGTAAACACAGGGCAAACTCTCTCTAGGAGCTTCTGCCGCGGCGAAGACACACACCACCTACCAAACACACACATACGCTAGTCCCACCGAGTGCTGAACACATGGGAAATGAAAGAGATGGGCTGGGAGCGGCTGAGTAGGAGGTGGTCAGGGAGGGCGTCTCTGAGGGGTGGCGATGGAGCTGAGGCCTGGGTGAGGAGGCGGCGGCTCCATTCTTCAGCACTTCCGGAAGGACGTTCTCAGTTGACAGGGCAGCAAGGGCCAGGCCCTGGGATGGGCACCACTTTGACCTGTGCTTAGAGCCAGGTGGCTGGGGAGCAAAATGAGGCCAGAAGGTTGGGCAGGGCTGGACACGTCACAGGGGCCGGCTCTGCTTGTCTGCAATGGGAGCTGGGGGGGGGGGGGTCGGTCTGGAAGAAGGGGCGCGACGGGACTCCACCTGCATCTCCATGCTCTCTGCCGGACTCTCCAGGGAGACCAGGAGGCAGGCTGCTGAATCCTGGGCCTGGACAAGGGTGGAGGTGGTGACGACGGGGAGAAGGGGACAGGTTCGGACTGTTTTGGAGACAGCACTGACCGTATTCTCAACGGCATGTCGGAGTGAGGGGAAGAGAAGATGCTTCTGACCCAAGTCACAGAGGAGCAAGGAGGGAGCAGACCTGGACGAGGGGGTCAGTGTCAGGGACAAGTGCCAGCTCTCCTCTGAAAACAAGACAAGCATCCCAACTGCCCCTGTTTGCCTGGGAAGAGGCCCCACGAGCCCATCAAGTCTGGGGCTGCTCCCAAAGCGACTGCTCTCCTGTCCGAGCTCATATCCATGTTCCATATTCATCTTCCTCTGGTGTGCCAATTAATGTTTATGTACACGGAAATTAATGTTGTTATTTCTCGTTCGTATTTCACCTCTCTCAGCTCCTTTCCTATTCATCACTACTGATATTTGCAAAATGTCCAAAATGAGTGTCATCTGCAAATTCGCAAGGCACACAGCCCTTTCAAACACTGGCAGGACTGGCTGCATTTACCAAGCCCAGCGTCCCCCGGTCACGTCACCAAAGCTCCCCTGTTTGCACAGGCTGGTCAAGGGGCTTCCGGATTCTGAACAGAAGAGGAAGAAGCCAAAGCTCAGAGAAGAGGTTCGGAAATCCCAGGCCTCAGCCGGGCAGAGGGTGCTTGGCCCGAGGTTCTCCCGCCCCCCTGCCCAGTAGAGAGCAGAGAAGTCGCTTTCCTCGTCGCAGAGGCCTCTGAGCTCCACTCCAAGGCAGGGCTCCCCAGGCACGGAGCCACGTTTCCGAGGAAGGGCCGAAGCTGGCTCAGGGGGAAGACATTCATGGACAGCATCTTTGGGGAAATCATCAGATGAAGGGGACAGTGCTGCCTCTGGCCGCCAGCCGGCCCCTCCTCCCGTTACTGCACTCTGACCCCTCCCCACCAGCTCCAGGGAGGGCCCTGGGCCCGCTCCCTCCAGTCCTGGGAGCCACGCTGGCTGGTGCTAAGATGTCTGGGCGTATGAGCCGAGCCAGGCTGCGGAGACATAATTCTGGGACAACTGCTGAACGTCTTGGGAAACAGAGATTCTCTCTCAGCTGTGACAGCCGGGCAGAAGGTGAGTGTGAGCGGAGTCTAAACAAGAGGGCGGAGGGCAAACAGGGCAGAGGGCGGAGGGAGACACAGCCTTCGTGACGCCGTCTGCACACCGGGTCCCAGCTGTACGGGAAACTAGCAACCCCTGACCTTTTTAGTGGCACAAGCCAATAAATCCCTTTTTTCATTTAACTCAGTTTGAATTCAATTCCCATTGTCCACCGAGGAGGAGGAGAGGAAGAAAACCCTGACCACCACGGGGAGACCAGGGCCAAGGCAGGACGGCCGTAGTCCAGGACCTCAGCTCTGTGGTCCTGACTCCGCACAGGCCTCGGCTGGGAGGCCTTCTCAGCGGGAGCCTGGAGGCAGAGTGTAGTGCTGAGGACGCCGGCTCTGAGTTCAGATGCTTGGTTCATCTTTGGCCTTGGCACCAGCTGTGTGCCCCTGGGAGGCTGGTGCCTCCCTGAGCCTGTTTCCTGACCTCGTCTAGAAAATGGAGAGAGTGAGCGCTGAGCAAAAGCCGGGGAGCCCCACTCGGGCTGTGAAGGGGATGAAGCCTCAGCCAGGCTCTGCCTACCTTCGCTCAGCTTTCTAAAGGACTCTGCTGCCCTAAAGGGACTGAGTCCTGGACCGCGCGGGCCGCGAGGACTCTAGGCAAACAGACTATTTCCTGAGGGGCGACGTGGTCTTTGCGAGTGAGTGTGGGAGTGTCCTCACGGGCACACGGGGGGCTACGGAGACAGCGGGCACGGCGGGTCCCGAGAAGGGGTGCGGAGGACGCTGTGGGCACTGCCCGGACCCCTCCTCCACCCAGGACTGCAGTGCTGACCCCAGCAGCGCCCGGGGCGGCCCACATCCAGCGACACGCTGACACAGGAGTAGGGGGCCTCGTCCCCTCACACCTCCAGACAGGCCGCCCGCCGCAGCGCTCCCTGTGGAGCCGGCAGAGCCTGAGGAGTGCAGCCCAGCTTGTCCCTCGCCCTGCGCCTGTGGTCTCCTCGGAGTCCCTGCGGGACCCAGGCATTACCGTGGGCAGGCAGGGCAGCCCACGGCTCAGGAGGCCGAACTGAGAGGCTCCCTCCTCGGATGAGGGCGGGAGGGGCGAAGGCATGGCAATGGCGGGCACGGCTCTTGCTGTCAGAAGTTGACGGGCAGGAGACAGCAGGCGAGGCTGCGCGGGCGAGGAAGTGAGCGGGAGCCTTGTGGACGGAGCAGGCGCAGCGGGCCGCACTCTGCCTGAGATTCCGGGGTGCAGGTGGGGGCTGGCTGCGGGCCACGTGGGAAAAGACGAGAACAGAGGTGGTGAAACCCAGACGGGATGTGCTGAGAGGCCACCGACCGGAAGCCAGCTGGCCAAACACTCAACGTATTTTGTTTGGCCCATTAGTTGCTTTAAAATATTATAAAATTAGTCAATGACATAAAAGCTGAAGATTCCACCTAGAAATCCAAATCTCCGACTTCTCAGGAGACCGGGCAGCTGCCCCCGGCCGGGAGGGCACAGGGTTCCTGGCTGCTGCTGGTTTCAGCCCGCTGGCCCCTCGCCGCTTCTCTGCGCCTGTGCCGCCGGCCGGTGCCCACGGAGACCCTGCCCCCGAGGCCCGGACCTCCCCCGGACACCGCCCCAGGACAGGTACTCACAGACCCCGTGGTAGACGCCCGGTTCCGGAGTGTTGACTTCGGGGACAGGGGTAGCGGGTGGCAGCTCTAGTTCCGGGACCTGCACACAGGTCAGGGGAGAAGCAGAGGAAAGGGGGTGATTGTAGTGATACCCGCATAGCTGGCTAGCAACGTCTTCAGCTACTGCTGCCCCCTCATGCCCCAGGTTAAGTCCCTGTGTCCTTTCTTGGGTTGTCTTTGTGGAGGCTCCGTGACTGGTAATATGAACAGGCCGGGAACCCTTAAGCCTTTGCCAGAAGCTCTTATTGTAGGAGAGGAGTTTGACACCTCCAGCTAATGTGATTCGATTTTCTGGAACAGGGAAGGACCCCACAAATGTTCGTCTAGTCAGTTAGAGGGAGGAAGAGGAGGAGGACAGGAGGAAGGGAGGGAGGGAGGGAGGGGCGTAGCCATAGAGCGAGGGTCTCAGGCCTGGGCCCGGTATGTGCATTTCGAAACTCTGGGGTCATCCCCACGGCCGCCGGGACAAAGAACCCGTGGTCTGCACACAGCCTACGCCTTGGGCCTCACGTGTCCCTCTGCTCTGAGACCTCTGCACCGTCAGTTAGGGTACACGGGCCCTCACTGCTTTTGAGACACAAGAGGAAGTGGAGTGGGGTCTCGGTTCTGGTGAGCGTGGTGTTTCAGGCCCAACAACAGCCTGGCAACAGCCTCTCCAGGCCCCAGTCCGGCTGTGGGGAGGGCTGAGGGAGGTGGCCGGGCAGAAGCACTCGACACTGGGCAGCCTCGGGCCACTGGCGAATGTCACTGCCCTGCTGCCCCTGGGCCTCCTCCTGCCCGCCTAGGTCAACTGCTGAACTAAACACCCGGAAGGGGGGGTGCAGCCCCGCCACTCTCCAGGGTGTGACCCTGATGTTGACACTGCCCCCCATGAGCTCAGGGTGACCCCTCTAAGATGAGAGTGGTCCCTCCCTGGCCCTCACAGGGTTGGATCTTATCCGAGTCCCTCAGAAGGGACTCCCTGTTGGGAAAACATCAGGCGAACGAAAGGCCTCAAGGTCAACTCCCAACCGGAGACCCACGGATCAAATCCAGACAAGACGTGTTTCATGGCCCACAGAAGGTTTGAACACGTTTTGAATTAGTTGCTATCATTTTTTTAATTGGGATATTTTTACATAAAGATTCAGATATCTGGCTTCATTTGAAGAAATCAGAACTGTCAACGTGAGCTGGAACTCCTGTCGGGCAGAGTGGCAGCTGCTTTCCCTGGAACACCACGGAAGGAACAGTCCGCGTGGCCGCACCGCGTGGCCGCGACTTCAGGGGCCAAGCCTCTGTCCTTGGGCTCCGGACACCCCTCTCCTCCACTGCCCTCTCTCCCCCGGCCTCAGGGTCCCTCGCCTCCCTGACTGCTCTTTCACTTGGCCTGGCCTGGCCCTGAAGCTCATCTTCCATTTTAAAAGTTGTTGATCAACTGAAAGCCCGGACTTTGGAGTCCTGCATTCAAGCTCTAGCCTTCTGACTCTCCCGCCGTGCGCCCCTGGAAAAGTCACCTAGCCTGTCTGAACCCCAGTTTCCTAAATGGGGATAATAATCGTCCCCCCTCCAGCGGTTGTCAGGAGGGAGACACAGGGCTGGGTCACAATTCACAAGCGAGAAATGATTGCTGAAATTATCATTATTTTAATTCTAAGTCTGCCTATTAAAAGCATTTCCAGTCCTCCAATCAAAAATAGCGAGAGATCAAAATGCAATCCAAAGCAAAAATTTCCCGAAGACTGCCACCTCTAAATTACAGAGATGACACAGAATGGATTTCTCCTAGCTTTGATTAAAATTTGAATACTTTCTTCCCTTTGGTGAAAATAAATAAATAAATAAAATAAAAACCATTAGAGAATGAAGTATGACACCCAGGACCGGAGAGAAATGGGAAATGCCAGACAGTAGCACAGCAGCTCGAAGGACACCCATCTCCACTCTTCCTGCTCCCTCTGGGCCCCCGCCCCCGCCCAGGCCTACCTGGCCCTGGGCCCGCAGGCCGGCCTGGGTGTAGGGCCTCTCCTCCCCAGTGCCATCGGCAGTGCGGGGCCTCCGCAGCGCCTCCTCGCCCTGCGGGCTGCAGCGGCTCTCCGCGTCCACGTCAAACGTCTCATCCGAGCAGAAGATGGCCTCCAGGATGTCGTCGTCGGTCGTGAATAAGATCGTGTCTCCAAAGTGCTCGGGGGCTGAAAGGGTTGACAGGAAGATAAGGGTCAACTCACCCCAAATCCCAGTGATTTGTAGCTCAGGAACCCAGACCGTTGACTGTGTGCTTTAAAACCCCGAACCTGCCACAGTTCTCCATCTGTGCAGAGACGGCTCTCCTCCACACCCTGGCAACTAGAATGCACGCACCGCGAGAATCACAGAGCTCACGAAGGGCCTAACCGGGTGGGAATCACGGTGATGGGCCCCGAAACAAAGCGTGGGTGAGGCACTGGGGCAGATGCTGCTGGAGCCCCTACCAGAGCCTGGCTGACCCTTGGGGAGGGGCTGCAGCCTTGCCTGGAAGGACCTGGGAGTTGCACCCCAAATCTCTGCCCTCTGCCCTAAGGCAGGACAGACCCCACCGTCTATGCTCCAGGCTCCCCTCGGTCAGGCTGAGACTGGGCTTTGCGGAGCACGACCTCGCGCAGCCTCTCACCGCCCTCACTGGGTGGTCCTGAGATCCCTGCCTCGGTCAACGCCCTGCAGGACCCCCGTCGGCTCAGGCCAGTGCCCAGGGAGGACTTTCAAGGAGGTCAGCCCTGGCCAGTTTTCTCAGTGGTTAGAGTGTTGGCTTGGGACCAAAGAGTCATGAGTTCGATTCCAGCCAAGGGCATGTACCTCAGTTGCAGTTTGGTCCCCTGCCCTGGTCGGGTCGTGTGGGAGGCAACCAGTCGGTGTGTCTCTCTTGCGTGGATGTTTCTTTCTCTCTCCCCACCCCCCGCACCCATCCCTCCCTATCTGACAATAAATAGAAAAATATCCTCAGGGGAGGATTTAAATAAGTAAAGAAAGAAGGTCGGCCCTTGCACCCCATGCTGCAAAAGTGAGCAGTGGGCCAGTCTGTGGGAGAGGAGACCCATCTGTCATGGTAGCCAGCGGGTCTGGCGTCTCCTCAGAGGCTCCGCAAGGCGTGGGTGGGGCTTGAGGACATTCTTACAGACACTGTACCTCCCGTCAGGGTCCCCGAGGCCTTGGCGATCTCCCCGTTAAAGATGCACTGTGCGTCCAACAGGATCTCCACGTCCTTCGCGCCACGGAAGGAATGTATCCGCGACTTATTGTAATTCCAAATCCTGATCAGGGCGACGTGGCAGGGGGTTGTGAAGTCGATGGAGACCGAGTGGGACCTGCCCGGTGTGAAGGGGGCCAGCCAGACGTGCATGTCGTCCTGGGTCCTGTTCACCCCGTCGATGAGGTTGGTGACCACCCGGGGGTCTTTCCCATAAGCTGGTAAAATATTGATGTCAGGGGGGTCTGCTTGGATGTTTGCAATTTGCACGGGCTCTCCCGTGGAACTGAATATTTCTATTCCGTTCAGGCCGACATAGTGCCTGTCCCCCCACGTGGACTTGATGTCGATGACCAAGTGCTGTCCATAAGGCAAGACGGGGATTTTAAAGTCGCTCCCGTCGTCTGTGTCCGTGGAGCAGCCGTCCGGCTCTCTCGCAGGCTCTGGCTTCTCCTCTCGGGGGGGTGGCTGGAGGCCATGCCGGCTGCCCTGCTGCTGCTGCTGCAGGAACTCGTCCAGGACGTCCCCCTGGAACTCCGTGTCGGCGATGCGTCCCCGGTGGGAGCGGTCAAAGGCACTGAGGGAGTTCCACGACTCGTGCAGCGTGTGCTCCTGCTCACTGCGCCACTGGGACCGCGGCGGCGTCCTGCTGGACCTGGCATCTTCTGCAAGAAAGGGCACGGGAGGGGTGAAGACCCTCAGGGACACATGTGCAACTGGGGACCCTCAGAGTGTCTCGTCCAGTGGGTCTGAGCGGGGCGCAGACACCCTCGGGGGACATTCTAGAAACCGGTGAGGCTGCTCTTGCTGGGGGTGGGGGCCAGGGGTGTTAATACCCCACATGGCACAGGACGGTCCAGGCACAGAGCACAGTCTCCTGTCACACACCTTGAGGCCGGCGGAACACTGTTTCTGGAACCTGGAACCTAGTTGTTTTACAAAAAGCAAAGTATTTTTCAACGTGCACTGAATTTCCTAAGAATGCAACCTCCCGCACATCACGGGAGGCCTGTTTGGTGGTGTGAGAGCCTTTGCCTGAAGTCTCCTCCCCGTCAGGGGCTCGCGGGACCGGAGTGAGGTGGCTGCCTGTGGTCTGAGGCAGCCACCCAGGGCCTGCTCCTCAGGCCACCACAGTCACAGTTCGCAAAGACCACCTGGTGACAGGTGAAAGGCTCTGAAAGAAGGTAAAATGAAAAAATGCCAGCTATGCCATTCTGGATGATGTGGGCAGCACACACCAACGTGTTACTATGACCTTTGGGGGATATACAGGAAGGGCCTTTATTTTCTTCTTTGTCACCTTATCTTCTAAGTTCCCAATTATATTGTTAATATTATTTTTTAATTCTCACCCTAGGATATTTTTCTATTTGTCTTCAGATAGAGTGGGAGGGAGGGAAGGAGGGAGGAAGGGAGAGAAACATCGACGTTGAGAGACACACATCGACTGGCTGCCTCCTGCGCAACCCCAACCAGGGCCAGGGACGAGCTACAACCAAGGTGCATGCCCTTGACCGGAATCAAACCTGAGACTCATTGGTCTGTGGGCCGACGTTCTAACTGCTGAGCCAAACCAGCCAAGGCTGTTATTGTTATGATCAGAAAAATGCTGAAACAACCCAGGTGTATTACATGGTGAGGACTTGACTTCTACACACGGCCACTCTGGCTGCAAGAGCTGCAGCTGTGCCCGAGCATGTGGAGGACAGGGCCCGGGCCCGGGGATGGCTCCCGAAGGCTCCGCTCTCCTCTGTGTGGGGCTCACAGGCTCTGCGTCCTGGACACGCTGTCTTTCCAGAGAAACAGCAGCCGATACATGCATTCTGGCTTCTCTCCTCCGTGCCCTGCCCTGCCCTGCCCTGCCCTGTCCGCCTGTCTCCAGGGGCCTGGCTCCATCGGTCATCTCTCCAGAGCCTCCCTCCCCTCCTTCCCACTGGCGCCTTCCCTCTCTGCCTGCCGACATGCGTGACCCTCTCTGGCCTGAGAAGGGAAGCCGCCGATCCTGCGGTGACGGCCCTTCCATCACCAGCACCTCTCAACCCCTGCGACCTGCTTCCTCTCTGTCCGTTTCTGTTTTCCCCCTTGACCTCCACTTCCCCTTTCTCTAGGAACACCCTGATCTTCCCTCGGGATCCCCCTCCTTCAGGCCATTCAAATGTTGACAGCATCCTCCCAAGCGGGGCTCACGAAAGGAAGCAAAGGAGAGAGGGGCTCTGTCTGAACGGGAGCTGCTGAGCTGGTGGGACGTGGGCGTGGGCTGCCTGTGGCCACGTGGCCACACGTGGGGGAGCCTGCCCGAGATGGAAGCCAACACGGAGAACAGGAGTGAGAGATGGACAGACTCCTCATGACAGCATTCGAGCCCTGGGATCCAGTGTGTCAGAAGTCACACGCCTGGTGGATTTCTGTCCCTTCATCCACAAATCCCACAGTTTCCAGCCCTCCCCTGAGCTGACCTTCTGCGTGTTCACAGTGACTTCAGGTACGTCATCTTTTCCCAGTCCTCATTCCACGTCAACGTCCCAGGCCAAGCTCCTGCGACATGTCCACTCTGTCACGTCAAACTCCATGTGCCTCAAGTAGAGTTTGTCAGCCTTTCCTTCCAGCGGCATTATCTCTACCACACTGAGAGTGAGGAAAATACGAGCAAACCTGACTCCGCACCATGCTCCCAGGCCCGAGCTGGCCCTGCTGACTCCTCCAACCTCCCCTCACACCCTTCTCCCCACGGCCGTCCTGCTTCTGTCCTGTGGACACACCAGGGCTCTTCTGTCTCACAGCCGCTGTCCTTGCTGTGCCCTCTGCCAGGAATGCTTTCCTCAGACCCCACGTAGCTGGCTCTTCCCGTCACGCCCCCTCGGAGAGGCCTGCCTGCCCGTTCCCTGCTGTGCCTGGCACGGAACCCGCACAGGCGAGTGCTGGTAGCATCTGCAGTGCAGGGATGGACAGCTGGCACCACCAGGACTCCCGTGTTCAGACCTGAGGCTGAGGGGCTCCCTCTCCACCTGTCGGTTCTCTGCACCTGTCCTCACTCCTCCTTCTCATCTGCCATTAAAATAGACCCCAGGTGTTTCTTCCGTCCTCTCCTCCAGGTGTGAGGCTTAACATCTGGTTGGAAGGGGCTTCCCATATGGATCATCAGTGCTCCCGTTTACTGTGATTTGATTTCCACGCACTGAAATGAATGGCCTGGGTCAGTTTGCAAGTGCCCCAATGGCACGTGCCCAGGACTCAGTGTCTCTCTGCCTGGGTGTAAAGAAAGGCAGGACTCTGCTTTCATTCACATCTGATTTTGACCTCTTCTTCCCAGATGTCAACTCTGGTTTTAAAAGCAGGAAGGTGCAGACCCTCTCCTAGACCTTGCCGATGTGACGCCAGGCTAGGGGCCCGCATTCCCCATCTGCAGGAGAACGCCCTCTCGCTAGTCCCTGGGGGTCGGGCAGCTGCTGGGGTCAGTGCCTGTGCTTTGTCAACATCCCTACCTGGGAATCTGAGTGGGCAACAAAAAACTGCTGCTTTGGTCTGCAGTCAACAGTCTGGGAGGACCACCAACATGAGATGACGGGACTGCAGACTCAAAACTATTCCTCGGTTGAGATTAACATCAGGGCTCTGCACTTGAGTTTATAAAAACCAATGGCACCACGCTAATTGCTACTAAAACAGGAAATGAACAAGTACATAGTGAGATAGAACAGAGCCATGTTTATTCTCGGTGACCTGCCCTCCAGTTGTAGTGGATTGGACAAGAAGTGGACACCTGACCTGAGTCGGCCAATGAGCTTCTCCCCTGAGACTTTGGAGCTGGCTGCTGGCAACAGAGCCAGAAAATTGAGCCACTCCAGGGCTGCAAGGCCATTTCCTGCCGTGTGCACAAAGGCGGAGAGAGCTGATCCCTGAGGAAGAGGGAGGGAAAGGGGCCTGTGGGAAGCAGAGGTAGGCCCGGCAGCCCTGGACCGGCAGGGAGAAGCTTCCTTGGTGTCTGCCAGTTTTCTGTTTCCTCCTCCCAAGCCCATGTGATGAGCAGCTACACACACTTCCCACCTCTGGGGGTCTAGGAGGTCCCCAAGCATTCTCCAAATAATACCCCCTTCACTGCTCAAACTGAGCTGATGGGATTTCATTCACCTGTAGCCAACTACCCCGGTACAGACACTTCAGAAAGGCAGGTGTCGTTACAATGGGATGCTCTGTTGGACAAAAGAATCTCCAGGCTGTCTTATGGTGACCAGCCCAGCCCCAGGGGAATTCAGCAGTTACCAACCTACCAGCGTGATGGAGGGCTCGCCTGCCCCTTTCCTGATAGCATGGCTATGGGGTTTGGCTCTGTCTAATGGGTAATTTAAAATTTTGAAGCAACTTTCCTTTTTAGCACGACAGGCTTAACAGGCACTAAATCTTAAGGGCTCAGTTCTTCATGTGTCATCGAGCCAGGCAGTGAAATGCCTGGAAAGAAATTAAAGTGAGACAAAGTCCTCCGAACGCGGACACGTTAGAATAATGCCATCACCCGCGAACCCCCGAGGCTCGGGGTCTGTTCACCAGGACAGCCCGGAACCGCCGGGTCTCCGGGGCTGAAGACGGCTGCGGAGGGCGCCGCAGGGAGCGACTCAAAGCATGATTCTGGGGCATGTCCACGTGGGATCAGATTCTGACCTGACACTTACTGGCCGTGTGACCCAAAGAAAGTTACTTAACCTTCCATTTTCTTTACCTGTAAAAGGGGGCTGGCTGAGGATGGAATGAGCTCATCTGAATACCGTGCCTGCGTGAAAGCCCGCTGACTGCGACGCCCCCAGCCAGCCACCGCGGTCCCTTCTTCCTGTGGCTCCCACGCTCGGACGACCCACCCTGAGCAGGCACCTGGTCCTGGGGTCTCATCACAGGCCAGACACGGTGTCCGCCCTCAAAGAGCCCTCGGCTCTCCTCTCCCACTCCACTGGCCCTGACGCCGGTGCAGGGTGAAGCCTGGCAGGGGCGGGCGAGGCTGGGGAGCTCGACAGGAAGATGCTCAAGTTTTACGGACTTGCTCTGGTGCCCTAAGTGACGTGTCAGGATCTGAAAGAGTCCCCCAAATTCTTCACACTTCTCCGTGCAGACTTGGGCTGAATGCAGACCTTTGGGGTCTGTCTCCCAAACAACAATAGAGCAGAGGCCGATGTGACCCACTGAAAACACACAGTTGACCTTGAACAATCCCGGCTGAACTGCACGGGTCCACTTACATGCAGTTACCTTCAGTGAACACGGACAGTACTATAAACGTATTTTCCCTTCCTTATGATTTTCTTAATAACATTCTCTTTTCTCTAGCTTATCTTATTGTAAGAAAATCAATATAAAACATATAACATACAAAATGTGTTCACCGACAGTCTGTTATTGGTAAGGCTTCCTTCCAGTCAACAGTGGGCTGCTAGTAGTTAAGTTTTGGGGGAGTCAAAAGTTATACGGGAATTTTCAGCTGCACGAGGGGTCGGTGCCCCTAACCCCCGAGGTGTTCAAGGGCAGCTGCACACTGGCTTCGCCTGCAGACACACCCAGAGGCAGAGGTGCAGAGCAGGCAGCGACGAGGACAGCGGCAGCCAGCGCCTGTGGGTGCTGTGTGCCAGGCGCTGTGCCAGGGCTGACGCGTACGCTCTCATCCTGTGCTCCCAGCACCCATGAGGTGGGTGTCACTGGCATCGTTTTACAGACAAGGAAACTGAGGCTCAGAGAGGTTTCAGCCTCGCCCACGATGTGGGCTGGTGGCGAGGAGCCAGGATTCGTGCCCAGCAGCTGGACCGCTCGGCTCCTGCACCTGTGCACGTGGGGTGCCTTGGTAGGGCCGAGCGGTCTGTGGACAAGAGAGGACGGGCTAAACATGGCTGTGGCTGGGACAGCACTCAGCACGTGCCAGCCTCTGGCTACTGTTCGGAAGCCACCCTCTCATCCACTCTTCACAGGCTGAGAAGGAGCTGGCAGGGAAGGGGAGCGCACCCCATTTCACAGACAAATATGCCGAGGCCGAGATGATCTGCAAAGTTCACAAAGCCGGGGGGTCCTGCCAGCACATGTGTATTTTCTCTTTTGACACACACACTGGTTGTAAGATGATCTTAGTAAGAACAAGAATATAAGAATACCCTACATTTCTGTTTTCTCTTAAAAGGAAAAGGGAGGCCTGGCACACTGGCCTTGCATTCCTGAATGCCACAAAGCCACCTGAGTGACACAGCAGCCGCCCCTCCAGCTGAGCTGGTGCCCTCATTAGCCACAGTCCTCACCACTCCCTAAGCACTCCCGAAACCAGGCAAGAGTCCATTTCTATTTATCATCACACCTGTGCTACTTTTCTAACTGTAGAGTTAAGAATACAGTGAGGTGCCCTGGCCTGTTTTTCTCATCAGCCCATAGACTGGAGGGTCTTGGGTTCGATTCCGGTCAAGGGCACATGTCTGGGTTGCAGATTTGATCCCTAGCCCCTGTCGGGGTCGTGTAGGAGGCAACAAATCGATGTCTCTCTCTCACATGACATTTCTCTCTCTCTCTTGCCCATTTTACTCATTGGTGTTACCCATGTGGCTCCCGAGACAGTAAATTAGTGACCCCTGGTGGAGAAGAACCCCTCGCTTTGCAGATGAGGAACTAGATCAAGGGAGCAAAGGGCTCGGTGCCAGCCAGCAGCCTCCCGCAGGGATGAGGGACCCACCCAGACTGCTGCTCCAGCTTACCTCTGCCGGCGGGCGGGCCGTCGGCATGGCCGCTGCCGAGGGCACCCCGCTTCGGGCCCCTCCTCCCACTAGCAGGGCGCTCCCTGTTGGAGGGCCGGTTGAAGATGTCAAAGTCATCACTGCAGACTCTGGGGGTCACCCTCCGGGCTCTCTCTCCTGAGAGGACAGTCCAGCTGCTGGGCCGCCCTTGCTCACGCCTGGGGCCTCTGCCCGTGGCCTCTGCAGGCCCCTCACCGATGACGTCCTCTGGCAGGCTGTCTGCCCACTCCAGGGGCTTCTCAGGACTCAGCCAGAGGGGTTTGGGCTTCTTGCCTCCCTGCTTCCTGCCTTTCCCTGTGGCAGAGGGTTGCAGCCAGGACGGGGTTTTCCCTGGTGGCTCAGAGACTTTTCTGCCCGCGAGGTTTTCCAGCTGCTGAATCAGTGAGAGCTCCCGGTCCAGAGGAGGGCATCCCACCGGGGGCCCGGGGGCAGGGGCGCCTGGCTCGCCCTCCACGGGGGCTGGGGCTGCCAACAGGCTGAAGTCATCCTCTAACTTGGACAAAGTGTCTTCCGTGCAATCAGGGGGATTCGTCCTTTCGCCAAATGAAGCTCCGGGTGGAGAAGCCTTCGCGTCCAGTGCTGCTGCAGCCGGCGGCGAGCCCACGACACGGAGCTCCTCGCCCCCGCCTGTGCCGACCACCGCGCGGGCACCGTGGCTGTCCTCCGAGTGGACATCGTTCTCCATTCCCTCGGTCTGCTCACGGCTCAGGCCGACCACCGCGCGGGCACCGTGGCTGTCCTCCGAGTGGACATCGTCCTCCATTCCCTCGGTCTGCTCACGGCTCAGGCCGACCACCACGCGGGCACCGTGGCTGTCCTCCGAGTGGGCGTGGACATCGTCCTCCATTCCCTCGGTCTGCTCACGGCTCGGGCCGACCACCGCACGGGCACCGTGGCCGTCTTCCGAGTGAGCGTTGACATCGTCCTCCATTCCCTCGGTCTGCTCACGGCTCGGGCCGACCACCGCGCGGGCACCGTGGCCGTCCTCCAAGTGGGCGTGGACATCGTCCTCCGTTCCCTCGGTCTGCTCACGGCTCGGGCCGACCAGGACGGTCAGCTCGGCGGGGGCCTCCCCATCTCCCTGGTCTAACTGGCCATCAAAGGTGAGGTTTTTGTTGACATAGAGCTTCACATTCTTGGCACCGATGTCAAGATCCTGAAAACAAAATTTAACAAAACGAAGAATTTAACAAAATGAAGATGCGTGGCATCAGACTGAGGATCACATTTCGAAAGCAGAAGGTGAAAAGAGAACCGTGGAAGGCTAGAGACGCTTGCTTTATAAAAACCACAGTCCTGGGGATGTTAAATAAGGCTCGGTCTCATTTCTATGGGAAGCTCTATAAATTTACTCTATAAATCAAAGGACTTTCACTAAGAGGTGGCCTCAGTCGTCTCTGTCATCATGACCTCCTGCTGGGACATCTGTGATCACCTGCTGATTGGTCTCCTGCGTCCTGCCTCTGGCTGCTCCAACCTCAACTTCACTTGCCCCTGGAGGTCACTTTCCACCAGAGCAGATGCAGCCCAGTCACCCCCCGGGGAACCGACCCTCAGGTCCCCTCACTGCCCACAGCAGCTTTCATTCGAGCATGGCCCCTGGGCCTCCGCGGGACAGCTCGGCACGCATGCGAAAGGCAGGCTCCCTGGCTGGGGGGTGTCCTGAGAGCAGAGCCTGGCACAAGGACTTGGTGGCAGTGAGGTGCTCTCGAGAGGGAGTGGGAAGGGTCGATAGGGCTGGAGAAACCCCACAAGGTTTCTGAGCTGCTCGCTGCTGTGGGCAACAGGCGCATCCCACTGGGCCTCCGAGACACCCACAGACGGTTGTCGGTTCTTGGTGCTCCTCCCGAGGCGAAGGTGGGGGCTCTGCTGCCGACCGTGCTCCTGGGGCACTGCGGCTCGGGAAAGCCCCCAGCCCAGAGAAGCAGAGCCTGGCAGCCTGCCCAGACTGCCCCACCCGAGTGTCCCACCAGGGCTGCGCGGCGGGGGCCTGGGCCTGCACTGTAACAGGTTCTCCAGGTGATTCCTCTGCAATGTGGAGCCTCTCAGGCCAACGGGGTGAATTCTGAACCCCTCGGCACATGACGGATGATGAAGGGGTCCCTGGCTAGGCTTCCTGTCTTCTCCCCCACCCCGTGCAGGTATTCAGCATTTCTGTGTTCACGAAAATGAATCCCCCGCCCCGCTACTGCGCTGCTGTCGGTCCGTCCCCTTTACGTAAACACATTTTCACAACAGCTGTATGGAGGAACAGAATACATGCCGCATACAGTAAACAGTACAATCTACAAGTGTGCAACGTGCTAAGTTTTAACACGTGCACAGACCCATGAAGTCATCTCTCCAGTCAAGATAATGAACATGTCACCCCGTTCCCTTGTACCCCAGGCGATCCCTCTCCCGACCCCAGCCCCAGGCAGAACGCTTGGCATGCACACCCACCAGCTCTGTCAGGACAGATCAGTCTGCATCTCCTTTTTAAGGACAAGGAATCGTGCACTCTGCGCCCTCTGGTCAGCTCTTCATTCAGCACAAGCACCTGAAGATGCAGCCACGCTGCAGGAATTCATCGCTCCTTCCTTTCTTGCCGGGCGCCCACCATGTGCCTGCCTTTAGCGCAGACTCGGACAGTCACTGTCCTCGCTGCCCCTCCCTCCTCTTGGGGCCCTGGCCCCGCTGCCGTCGCCTTGAGCTCTGCCTCTAGGGGGAGCCACTTGGCAAGGGCACGACACCTGGCGGAGGAGCTCCCGTCAGTCTGGGACAGCTCCGACGTCCTCCTGCCGCGCTGACCACTCGCAGAGCCTCGTCCTCGCTCTCAGAAGTGCCCTGGTCTGCACATTCAGTGCCAGGGCCTGGGAGAGTCTCGGTCCCCGGGCAGAGCAGCTGCCAGCAGTACCTGTGCTGTGGCCCCTCCTCCTGAGTGGTCTCCTGCCCCCGGCTCCGCAGCTCTGTGCTTGCCCGGGCTCCTCCTGCCTCAGCTGCCCGCCCAGGCGCCTCTGCTGTTCCTCCTCCTCCGCTGGGCCTTGACCGGCTGGCTGATTCCTGCGCTCTCTCACTAGGTGGTCTCACACAGGCCAAGGCCTTAAATACCATCTCTGTGTTGCTGACTCCTGATTATTTTCATCTCCATCCCTGACCTCTCCACCAAGCCCCTCGTGACCACGGGACCTCTCTTCTTGGCTAACAGGTGTGTCAACCTTAGCATGCCGCAAACAGAACTCGTAACTCACTTTGCCCACGGCTAGACTCCTCCCTTCTTAAAAGTGGTTGCCTCATCCAATCAGCAGCCAACATCCCGGGGTCCTCCCTGATTCCTCTCGCTTTCTCGTTCACACAGCCAGGGGTCGGAGTCCCATGCTGACCCTAACCCTTCCGCACCTGACCTCTTCTCCCGGAACGGGGTGCCCCTTGCCCAGCCGCCATCGTCTCTCCACGAGGCACTGCCTGGCCCCAGCTGGCCCCTCGGCGTCCACTCCACACCGTCACTGGTTCCTCCCCAACACTTTCCACTGAGCAGCCGTCCTTCCAAAACAGCTCTTCAGGTCATGGCAACCCTGCTTACCCGCCCCCGCCCCGGGATTTTGGACTGCACATCAGCTCCATCCCCCTTCAGTGGCCAGTAAGGCCTCCTGATCTGGCCCCTGCTGACCTCCCCGCCCCCGCCCCTCGCTGTCTCCCTCCCCCTCCACTCCCAACACACTGGTCTGCTGGTTCCTTGGCCCTGCCAGCTCGTTCCCACCTTGGGGGTGAGCACCGGCCCGGATGCTCTTCCCGGCGCCGCCCAGCGGGCCCCTTCTTATCCTCGCCGAGACCACCGCCCCCCGTTCTCCGGAGCAGCCCCTCCTTCCAGGCCCCCCTCTATTTCATAGCCTGTTTCCTTTCTTTCTTGTCTCTGGTCTTATCAGCCTTTTATTTATTGTCTTCCCCACTCAAAGTTAAGCTCCCAGACACCAGGGGCCCTGGTCCAGTCTTGTCCAAGGCCCGGCAGGCAGCTGGCACAGAGCAGGTGCTCAACGATGACTGAGGAATCGCCAGTGAACAAACACGGTGCTCGTCTCCCGGGCAGCGCTGCCAACGATGTTCTGAGAACTGCCTGGTCAGAAAAATGGCCACCTGTTGGTTTCACTCCCAGATCATTTTCCATCTGCTCTTGGGAAACGGGATCTGAGACCCAAGAGTGTCCATCTATCCTTATCCCGCCCTTAGCCTTCCTGCAAGCCAGGTGAGGAAGCTCGAACTGAACTCCTAGTTCACCAGCTCACTGCTCCAGAGGTTTCCGTGCGATGTGGAACGAGCCCATCAAGCCCTTGTCCACCACAGGACTGGGCGCCGGCCACCCACGTGCAGGACGACGGGCTACTCCCTGCCGACCGTCAGCAGAGGCGATTCTCAAAGCTCTCCTTTCTGTGTTTACACGGATGTGTTCTCCGCTCGGCAGAGGCCCAGAGCAGGTGCGTGATGTGAATTAATCAGGGAACAGCTATCGTAGAAGGACAGCACGGGCTGCTTTCAGTGACTAGTTCTGCAAAATTACTGCCATGGAAACATCTGGCGAGACAGAAGCACTCTCATTTAAAGAGGAGGTGGGGTGGCGGGGAGGCCTTCCAGCCCAGCACAGCCATGAGGTGGGCATTCTGGCTTTCACAGTGCGGGTCTGGCTTCCAAATGTGTTTGCTTCCCTTTCGTGAACAGTCTGGAGCATCATCTGACCTCCAGCCGTCTGCTGCCTGGCTCTCACCAGGAGGTCTGGCTGCGAAGGGCCGAGTGAGGGAAGCGGGCAAGGGCAGGGATGCCACCTCCAATGCCCACAGGGGCCAGGCAGGTAGGATGGGGGGGCTAGGGAGGGAACCAGGGGAAAGGGTGGGGTCCCGAGGAGCTGGGAGACTCGTGCCCAGCCTGAGGGTGTCATCTCCAGCTTCCACATCCTGCAGCCGAATGAGCCCTATCTGGTGGGCGTGGCGTGAGGACCGCCCGCGTGGAACCCCGGGAGGGGAAGGAGTGCAGTCAGTGCTCTGGGGATGCCCAGTGTGAGGGAGGACGGGCGGCACGCCTGCGCAGTCCTCTGAGCCACTCCGCAAGGTGGGCATCAGGGCCTGTCTCACCGACGGGGAAACTGCGGTCCTGCAGCTGGGACAGGTGAGCCGCTCCAGCTGGCCCGCCCGAGGTCACTGCTGCCTCCCTTCGGTCAGGCTGGACCTGGGGACCGCCTCCCTCTGGCCACTGGCAGAATCACCTGCACCCGGTGGGACTAGGAGCCCCGCTTACCCTCTTCAGTAATTCCCTGAGGACAGTCCTCCCTGCCCGCACCCGGCTCCCTCCTGGTCGAGGCGATCGCTGTGGGCACTGGGTGGGAGTGCACATGCCGCGTCCTGCCAGTCTGTTCCTGCATACTCACACATGCCACCGTACCTGTCATCCCACCTCACGGGTGGGGCTAGAGGCCACACAGAGACGCAGGTGTGCACCGTGGAGAAAGCAGGGTGGAGGACTCAGAGGTCCACACCCCTCAGCACCCCGCAGTGAAGCTCTGCTTAGTGACGTGTTTGGAAATGGAGCGAGGGGAACATTCTCTTGCGCCTAAGGAGCCAGCCTACTTCCTGCTTTCCAATAACCAGGCCTTCAGGCCCGCGCTGCATGCGTGTGCGTGCACGTGTGCGCGCGTGTCTCTGTGTGTGCGCGCGTGTGTTTGCGTGTCTGTGTGTTTGAGTGTCTGTGTGTGCGCGTGTCTGTGTGTGTGTGTCTGTGTGTGTGTCTGTGTGTCTGTGTCTGTGTGTCTGTGGGCGTGTGTCTATGTCTGTGGGTGTGGGTGTGTCTGTGTCTGTGGGCGTGTGTGTGTGTGTCTGTGTGCGCGTGTCTGTGTGTGTGTGTGTCTGTGTGCGTGTGTGTGTCTGTGTGTGTGTGCATGTGTGTCTGTGTGCGTGTGTCTGTGTGTGTGTCTGTGTGCGTGTGTCTGTGTGTGTGTCTGTGTGTGTCTGTGTGCGTGTGCGTCTGTGTGCGTGTGTCTGTGTGCGTGTCTGTGTGTGTGCGTGTGTGTCTGTGTGTGTGTTTCTGTGTGTGTGTCTGTGTGCGCATGTCTGTGTGTGTCTGTGGGCGTGTGGGTGTGTGTCTGTGTGTCTGTGGGTGTGTGTCTATGTCTGTGGGCATGTGTGTGTCTGT